CTTTCTCTCCATGGTCTTGTAACTCCCACTCAAGTGATTGGGTAAGACTGTGCAAATAAGGCAATTGTGGCCCACCAAGGGGATTGGTTGGTTTTGCCATTCCACTAGGCTTAAAATGAGCCATCCCAGAGGAGGGGAGGAGATCTTACCACCACCACCGGAGAGGTGCCCAGAGTGGAGCACATTCTTTGGATCCGGGATCCCTGCGCTGGGAGGCTCCTGGAACCAGGAGACCGAGAGACAGAGTGCACTGTTAACACTGAAGATGGTGAGAAGTGGTGGCAGAGAAATGGTGGCATCAGAACCACGAGACTGGCAGGAGGAGATGGCCTGGCCTACGGAGTGAGGAAGCTGAGTGCCTGTGGGCAGGAGGCTTGCTGGCAGAGTAGGGTGCCTCTGGGCACTTGGTGGAGTTGGGTGTACTGACCCAGGGAGCTAGAGCTGAGCACCTTCCGGCTGAGGCTTACTGGTGGAGTAGAATACTTCTGGGCACTTATTGGCAAGCTAAGGGAGCTTTGTAACACTTGCCCGAGCCAGGTAGAGGCCAGGCTAAGGGGCCAGGGAGAATCCTGCTGGTGGGTATGGCTGAGAAGAGGCTGTCCTGATGAAAAAACTGTATCCTGAGCGTTCCTAAACCTGAATTGTAACCTGTTACTTCCTTAATAAACCCCGTAATCGTGAGTATTGTCTTTGAGTTCATGGTGGCCATTGCAATGAATTACTGAACCCAGCAAAGAGGTAGTGCCGTGGGAGTGATGGTTGATGTCAGGATTGGTAAAGATGGTGGAGAGAGGAGGCATGTCTGACCTCTGCCTCATAGGAATCAGCCTTGGGCTGTTGATCTTGATTCTCCTTCCCTCTTGTGAAGTTAGAGGAGGTCAGACACTGCCCCCACGCCATTTTTACGGAAGTATTTGTGTATTACATACATATAGGGTCACTGTGAGTCGGAATTAACTCTACAGCAGTGGATTTGGATTTTTTTTTTTTTTGGACAAACGTGTATTACTGTTTTCTGAATCATTTAAGAGAACGTTAACATGACGCATCTTTACCGTTGAATACTTCAGGGTGTGTTTCCTAAAAACAAGGACATTATTTTATGTAACCTCAGTGCAGTTATCAGATATCAGGAAATTAACATTGACACATACTGTTGTCTAATGTATTGATCTTATTTAGATGTAGCTAGTTGCCTTTTGTAACAGGAGAAAATCCTGGCTCTGCATTACATTCGGTTGTCTTTACCCGTTGACGCTGAGTAGATGCCGACTCATAGCGACCCTATAGGACAGAGTAGAATATCTGTAAAGTTTTTTCATCGTGAATTTGTTATTTCCCCTTTGTAATATTTTGTGGGGTGATGCTTTGAGATTGTATACATATCTTTTAAATTCTGAAATTTTCACTGATTAGTTTTTTTGTTTTTTTGGTGGTTGTTTTTTTATTTTTAGTATTTGTTAATTATAGTAGGGATATTACCATTTTTCTGTGATATTTGTTGCAAATATTTCTTCCCTGCTTGTCTTTGTCCTTTGATTTTGTTTATGGTGTTATTTTGCCATACAGAAGTTTTTATTTTGTTTTGTTTTGATGTAGTCAAATGTATTTATTTTCTCTTATTGCATCTGGGCTTTGAGTTATGGTTAGAAGGCCTTTACCCGCCCCTGTTTTAAAGAATACACTCATGTTTTATTGTAGTACTTGTATGGTTTCCTTTTCTACATTTGGATCCCTGATCCATTTAGGGTTTATTCCTGGGTATGGTGTGAGATATAGACCTATTTTACCTTTTTCGTAAGTAGTTGTACCTGCACTACTTATTAAAAAGCCCACCTTTGCCCCAGTAATTTGAAATGCTACCTTTATCATATGCTAAAATTCTCTGTGTACTTGGGTATATTTCTGGACTTTCTGTTTTATTCCACTGAAATAAAATTTATGTGCCTGTACCACACTGTTTTAATTATGTAGAGGCTTTAATATCTGGCAGGGCTAGTTCTCATATTTTTCATTTTGGTGTTCCCCTGGCTATTCTTACATATTTATTTTTCCATGCGAACTTTAGTATCAATTTATCTAGCTACTTAAAAAAAAGTTTTGTTAACTTTTATTGGGATTGTATTATATTCATTAATTAACTTAGGGAGAACTGACATCTCTATGATGTTGAGTCTTCCCATCCAAGAACAAGCAGTGTCTTTATATTTGTTCAGGTTTACTTTTATGTCTTTCAGGAGTGTTTTTAAGTTTTACTCATTTGCACATTTTTTGTTAAATTTATTCCAAGGATCTTTGTTAATGTTGAAAATAGGATTTTCTGAGTCATTATATCCTCTAACTGGTTATGTTTGTGTATATGAAGCCTTTTGATTTTGGTATGGTAAATCTTTTTATCCTGCTAATTTATTGAATTTTTTTATTGCTTGAATTTTTATTGGTTTTATCATTGATTTTCCAGGGTTTTCTAGGTTGGTGCTCATATTTAAATACAACCCCATCTACCCATCTCCACATGCATATTGATGGCCTGCCCTCAGATGAGTGGTGCATGTCTCTTGCAGCTCAGTGGAGTCCTGCAACCAAATTGGATGTTACTTTGGTTTTTGCTTCTCATCAGCAACACTAGCATTTTTTTTCTCAGACATATTTCTTAAAGGAGTGAAGTTTATATTTATGAACGTTTTTGTTATATGTCTAGTAGAGAACCACAAAAGACTTGGAGAAGGAGATGTTGGGAACTGTCTGGGTTTACCAGTTAAGTAAACTCACCCATGCCATCCTTGTTACACACCTCAGCAACATACATTTCTATGTGCCATGGTCCTTCGGAATCACTCATGAATATGTGAAATGGCAGATGTTAAATCTGTCACAGAAAGTCCACTGCACTCAGATAATCTGCTGACCTGCCCCTCTACTAAAGGTTGGGGGAATTGCAGTGAATTTTTTGAGGAAAAATTATTTGACCGGCCCAATTCATAGTTGGGCACACAGTGAAACACCGACTGTCAGCATACCTGTTTTCATCCTTTTTCAGAGCCACAGGGAGCCCCTTGAGATTTGTGCCCCTTGAGGTTGTGGCCTTGGGCCACCCTTACTCCCCCTTGAGTTCTCTCGAACTTCTTAGGCTCCTGAATAGAGAGTGGTCATGTTACTCCCAAGGAGTCCCTAAGTGGCAAAAACAGTTAAATGCTCAACTACTAATAGAAAGGTTGGCAGTTCAAACTCACGCAGAGGCACCTTGGAAGAAAGGCCTGGTGATCTGCTTCTGAAAGGTCACAGTCTTGAAAATCCTATGAAGAGCACTTCTGTTCTGCACACATGGGGTTTTCATGAGTTGGAATGGACTTGACAGCAAATGGTTTGTTTTTTTGGTTTATGTTCCTCCTACGGCTTTAGAATACTTGGCATAGTTTTAGGTTCTCATAGAGTTTAGGTTCTCGACCCCCTCAGGCTAAATCCTCTGCCCAGGAATTACTGGATTAGACTTTCATCTGATTATTGGAGCTCGGCCCTTACTCATTTTCCCTGAGTAGGGAATTTTACCTCTACTAGTTTATTCTGTTTTCCATTTTTCCCCCTCCTTCCTTTTGTTGAATACCCTGGCTCCTCCACTCTAGATCATTTCACCCTGTTTTTTCTTCAGACCCTCTCTGACCATAAGTTTCCATCTGGAAGCTTCTTAGCACTCACACTTTTACTCTTAGCCAGCACACTGGGTCTACTCAGATGTCTCTAGTCCTGATAGGAAAACTCATAGCCTCTTCTAGCTGTGAGCTAGTAAAAAAGAATGACACTGCCACTAAGACAAGCTACTTGAGGATTATTTTCCTCATTTTAAAAGTGGGGCTCCTTGGGTTACTGGATCTTGAAAACACTTTGTGAGCTATAAAGTACTATAGAAATGTTAAGTGGTATTAACAATACACTTCAAAGAGTTAAGATCCTGCATTTATATTTATCACAGCCACTTTCATCCTGCCGATCTATAATTGTAGTTACTTACTGATATAAAATCACCTTTTTGAGGAGTCACATATTCATGACATGCCACTGACAGGTGTGTTTTCTCTAGACAGCTTATCTCCTGTGCTGGACCCTTCTGACTTGATCCTGACCCGAGGAACCTTGGATGAAGAGGATGAGGAAGTAGACAGTGATACTGATGATATTGACCACAGAGGTGAGAGGAGGCTGAGGTGACTCATGAAAACAGAATCAGCTGCTTATCTCGAATTGTTTGCTCAGGAGCTTCTTCCTGGGAGGAAACCTTAAACTTAGTCAGTAAAAGCGAGAGAGGAGATGGTAAAGGATACAGCACCAGCAAGGAGTTTTATATACTGAGTGTTCCCAGCCTTCCTAGTGAGTGATTAATATTGAGCTGATTACAGGCCTTTTACTGGTCTTGTGTCTTCTCATTTTTAGGACCTAACTCAGTTTGAGAAATCCAGGAGTTTTGTTTGTGGTGGTTATTGTTTTAAGAATACATAAGGAGGTCTAAAATAGTCAGGACTGTAACTAACACTGAGGATAGATTGGCTCTGGATACCCAGAAGTGCTCTCCTTGGCTTAGTTTTATGGGCTGTGAGCAGAATCTATTTCTTGAAACAACCCAGGATTTAGGTCCTAATTAGGACCAGGGGCAAACCTCTCCTTACTGCTGTGTGCTGAGTGCTAACATGTAAATTTGCCTCATTTAATCAGATTTATTGAGGTATAATTTACAAACAGTAAAATTCACCCCTTTAAAGTATATAATTCAATGAGTTTCAAAAAATATAGTCATATAACCACCACCCCAGTCAAGGTATAGAACATTTCTGTCATCCTGAAATTTCCCTCATGCCCTTTTTTATTCATTTTTTTGGTTACTGTTTCTTTTCTTCTGTTTTATTGTACATTAGGTGAAAGTTTACAGAGAAAATTAGTTTCCCATTTGATAGTTTGTACATAAAACGTTCCATGACATTGGTTGCATACCCCACAATGTGTCAGCACTCTCCCCATTTCCGTCCTAGGTTCCCCATTTCCTTTCATCCTGATTTTCTACCCTTTCCTGCCTTCTCATCTTTGCTTTTGGGCAGTGTTGCCCTTTTGGTCTCGTATAATTGATTGTTCTAAGGAGAATGTTCCTCTCGGGTATTATTGTTTATTTTATGGGCCTGTCTGTGGTTTGGCTGAAAGGTGGTCTCTGGGAATGGCTTCAGTTCCAGGTCAGAAGGGTGTCTTAGGACCATAGTCTCGGGGGTTCCTCCAGTCTCTGTCAGACCAGTAAGTCTGGTCTTTTTTGTGAATTTGATTTTTTGTTCTACAGTTTTTCTCCCCCTCTGTCCAGGACCTTCTGTTTTGATCCCAGTCAGATCGGTCAGTAGTGCTAGCCAGGTACCATCTAGTTCTTCTGGTTTTGGGGTCATGTAGGCTGCGGTTTGTGGTCCATTAGTCCTTTGGACTAATTGCTCCCTTAAGTCTTTGGTTTCCTTCACTCACCTTTGCTCCAGACGGTAAGACACCAATAATTATATCTTAGATGGCTGCTCACAAGCTTTTAAGACCCTAGACGCTACTCACAAAAGATGCAGAACTTTGTCTGTATGAACTGTGTTGTGCCAATTGACGTAGGTGTCCCCCGAGTCTATGATCCTTTGCCATCAAGACTAGGAACTTCGTCCCTCGAGATGTTTGGTTATGTCTAAGAAGTTGCCCTAACTGTGGCCTCTGTGTGCTCTAGTGTCTCTATTAATATATAAGCAGCACCTACATGTATATGTATATAGAAATATCCACTACCAAACCTATATCTGTGGGTGGGTGTGCTCCCTTACACCCTCCCACACCTCTTGGCATACCTATCTACCCATTCATAAATTATTGTATGTTAATACTATTGTTGCAGGATTGTCTGTGCTATAGTAATTACCGTTGTTACCCTTTGTTCTTTTCGTTCCTCTCATGTCCTCCCATGCCTTGGTCATATTTTGCTGACTTCCCCCATATTCTGTATTGCCTTTCATTAACACATGTCTTCTGAGTCAGAATCAACTCGATGGCAACAGGTTTAGGGTTTTTTTTTTCCTCCCCGCTCTCTATTTGGTAATTTTCCCTCCTTCCCCCTCCCATCACTGGTAACCATTAAATAATGTTTTATTTATTTATTTTCTGTGTGTAAAGCTTTTATTGTTTCTTTATAATAGTGGTCTCATACAATATTTGTCCTTTTGTGATTGACTTATTTCACTCAGCATAATGTCCTCCAAATTCAGCCACTTTGTGAGGTGTTTTGCAGATTAGTCATTATTCTTTATCGTTGCATGGTATTCCATTGTGTGTATGTACCACAGTTTGTTAATCCATTCATCTGTTGATGGGCACTTAGGTTGTTTCTGTCTTTTTGCTACTGTGAATAATGCTGCAGTGAACATGGGTGTGCATATGTCTATTCATGTCACAGCTCTGATTTCTTTAAGGTATATACTTAGGAGTAGGATTGCTGGATCATATGGTATTTCTATTTCTAGCTTCTTAATGAAGCGCCATACCATTTTCCACAGTGGTTGTACCATTGTACATTCCCACCAGCAGTGTATAAAAGTTCCAATCTCCCCAGCATTTATTATGTTCTGTTTTTTTGATGAGTGCCAGTAATGTCAGGGTGAAATGGTATCTCGTTTGTAGTTTTGATTTGCATCTCTCTAATGGCTCATGATGGCGAGCATTTCTTCATGTGTTTGTTAGCTGTCTGAATGTCTTCTTTGGTGAAGTGTCTGTTCATATCCTTTGCCCATTTTTTAATGGATTGTTTGTCTTTTTGTTGTTGAGACGTTGAAGTTTTCTATAAATTTTTGAGATTAGACCCTTGTTGGATATGTCATAGCCAAATTTTTTTTCCCAGTCTGTAAGTTCTCTTTTTACTTTTTGGAGAAGTCTTTTGATATGCATAAGTGTTTAATTTTTAGGAGGTCCTGTGTATCTAGTTCATCTTCTGCTGTTTGTGCATTTTTAGTTATGTTTGGTATTCTGTTTATGCCATATATTAGGGCCCCTAGTGTTGTCCCTATTTTGCTGTCCATAGATGGATGGATTTACATCTGGGTTCTCAATTCTGGTCCATGGGTCTATGTGTCTGTTGTTGTACCAGTACCAGGCTGCTACTGTGGCTGTATAGTAGGTTCTAAGATCAGGTAGTATGAGGCCTCCAACTTTGTTCTTCTTCTTCAGTAATGCTTTACTTATCCAAGGCCTCTTTCCTTTCCATATAAAGTTGGTGATTAGTTTTTCCATCTCGTAAAGAATGCTTTTGGAATTCGGAGTGGGATTGCGTTATATCTGTAGATGGCTCTGGGTAGGATTGACATTTTCACAATGTTGAGTCTTCCTATCCATGAGCATGATATGTTTTTCCATTTATGTAGGTCTCTTTTGGTTTCTTGAAGTAGTGTTTTGTAGTTTTCTTTGTATAGGTCTTTTACATCCCAGGTTAGATTTATTCCTGAGTACTTTATCTTTTTGTGGTTGTTTTCCTGATTTCCTTTTAGAAGTTCTCTGTTGCTGTAGAGGAATCCAACTGATTTTTGTATGTTGATCTTGTATCCTGCTGCTTTGCTAAATCCTTCTATTAGTTTCTCTGGCTTTCTTGTGGAATCTTTGGGTTTTCTCCATATAGGACCATGTCATCCGTGAATAGGAATGATTTTACTTCTTCTTTACCAATTTGGATGCCCTTTCTTTTTCTTGACTTACTGCTCTAGTTAGGACTTTCAGCACAATATTGAATAAGAGTAATAATAAAGGGCATCCTTGTCTTGTTCCCTTTCTCAAGGGGAATGCTTTCAGTCTCTGTTATTTCAGATGAGAATAATGTTGGCTGTTGGCTTTGTATAAATGCCCTTTATTATATTGAGGAATTTCTCTTCCATTCCTATTTTGCTGAGAGCTGTTATCAGGAATGGGTGTTGGACTTTATCAAATGCCTTTTCAGAGTTGATTGAGGTGATCATGTGATTCTTTTGTTTTATTTATGTGGTGGATTATGTTGATTGATTTTTTAATGTTGAACCATCCATGCTTACCTGGCATGAGTCCCTCTTGGTTGTGATGTATTATTTTTTTGATATGCTGTTGAATTTTATTGGCTAGAATTTTGTTGAGAATTTTGGCATCTGTATTCGTGAGGGATATTGATTTGTAGTTTTCTTTTTTTGTGTTATCTTTGCCTGACTTTGGTATCAGGGTTATGTTGGCTTCATAGAATGAATTTGGAAGTATTCCTTTTCTGTACTCTGAAGTAGTTTGAGTAGTATTTGTGTGAACTCTTAATATTTGGTTAAATTCTCCATTGAAGCTGTCTGGGCCAGGGTTTTTTGTTGTTGGTGTTGGTAGTTTTAGTTTATTTTTTTAACCTCTTCTATCTCTTGTTTTGTTATGGGTCTGTTCAGTTTTTCTACCTCAGTTTGTGTTAGTTTAGGTAGGTAGTGTGTTTCTAGAAATTTGTCCATTTCCTCTAGGTTTTCAAATTGGTTGGAGTACAGCTTTTCAAAGTATTCCGTTATGATCCTTTTTATTTCAGTTGGTTCTGTTATAATGTCATCCATCTTATTTCTTATTCAGGTTATTTGCTTCCTCTCTTGCTTTTCTTTTGTCAGTTTGGCCAATGGTTTGTTAGTTTTGTTGATCCTTTCAAAGAACCAACTTCTGGTCTTGTTGATTCTATTGTTTTTCTATTCTTTATTTCCTTTCTTCTGATGACTGTGGGCTTCTTTCGCTGCTCTCCTTGTATTTGTTTGAGTTGGCAGGGTTAATGTTTTGACTTCGGTAAGATGTGTTTTCATTCTCATTTGATTCTAGGAATGTTTCGATTCCATCTTTGATTTCTTCTATTACCCAGTGGTTTTTAAGCAAGGTGTTATTCAGTTTCCATGTATTTGATTTATTTTTCTTGTTATTCCTGTTACTGATTTCTTCTTTTATGGCATTGTGATCAGAGAATATGCTTTGTATCATTTCAGTGTTTTGGATTTTGTTAAGGCTTGCTTTGTGACCTAAAATGTGGTCTATTCTATAGAATGTGCCATATGCACTAGAAAATAATATATATGTTGCTCCTGTTTAGTGGAGAGTTCTGTGTATGTCTATGAGGTTGATTGATTGTGGCATTTCGATCTTCTGTATCTTTGTTGAATTCCTTTCTAAATGTTCTGTCCTTCACGACAAGTGATTGTTGAAGTCTCCTACTACTATTGTGGAACTGCTGTTTCTCTTTTTAATGCTGTTTGAGTTTGTTTTATGTATCCTGGAGCTTTGTCATTGGGTGTGTGTATACTTATTACGGTTATGTCCTCTTGGTAGATTGACACTCTAATCATTATACAGTGTCCTTCCTTATCTTTTATGGTGGATTTTTCCTTAAGCCAAAAAACCAAACCCGTTGCCATCGAGTCGATTCCGACTCATAGTGACTCTATAGGACAGAGTAGAACTGCCCCATAGGGCTTCCAAGGAGCAATTGGTGGATTCGAACTGCCTAATGCCTAACCACAGCACTACTAGGGCTCAGGATTTTTCCCTAAAGTCTGTTTTATCAGAGATTAATATTGCCACTCTTGCTATTTTTTGGTTATTGTTTGCTTGATATATTTTTTTCAATCCTTTGAGTTTATGTCCTTAAGCTGTGTCTTGTAGACAGCATATTGATGGTTCATGTTTTCTTACACTCTGCCGCTCTGTCTCTTTACTGTTGCATTTAAACCATTTATATTTAATGTGATTATCAGTAAGTATGAATTTATTGGTGTCATTTTGTTATGCTTTTTTTGTTGTGGTATTGACAGTTTCTTTGTTCTTCTTAATTTTCTGTGCTGAGTTCTTTTTGTTTGTGGATTTTCTTCTCATTTCTTTCATTTTTGTTGGTTTTATGTTTACTGAATCTTCATGTTATTCTTCTTTTTTATTTTGATGAGTAGATTTGTTAAGTTTCTTTGTGGTTACCTTGAAATTTGGCTTTATCTTCCTAAGCTCAAACCAGTCTTTTATTTCTTTTTAAAAAAAATTTTTAAACTGTATTTTAGATGAAGGTTTAGAGAGCAAACTAGTTTCTCATTAAACAATTAATACATATACTGTTTTGTGATATTGGTTGCCAACCCCATGACATGTCAACTCTCTCCCCTTCTTGACCTTGCGTTCCCCAGTACCAGCTTTCCTGTCGTCTGCTGCCTTCTCGTCCTTGCCCCTGGGCTGGTGTGCCCACTTAGTCTCATTTTGTTTTATGGGCCTGTCTAATCTTTGACTGAAGGGTGAACTAGTCTTTTATTTCTTGATATCGCCTTGAATTCCTTTCCATATGAAAGTTCTATAATTACACCATTTATTCCCTCTTTTTTTTTTTTTCTCTGACGTCCACATTTACTGAATGATATCTCTGGTTCCCTGTTTTCAGTCTTTTAGCTTTGTTTTATTTTTGAGAATTCTTTTATCTTAGTTGGTGTCAGTCAGGCTGATGCTGTCCTATGTCCTAATCTCATGTTGTTGTCTGATGTTGTTTGTTTTCTATCTGAAGGACTCCCTTTAATATTTCTTGTAAGGTTGGTCTTGTTTTTACAAATTCCTTTTATTTCTGTTTATCTGGAAGTGTCCTAATTATGCCATCGTATTTGAGAGACAGTTTTGCTGGATATATAATTCTTGGTTGGCAGTTTTTTTCTTCCAAGGTCTTTTGTATCGCATCCCATTGCCTTTTCGTCTGCATGGTTTCTGCCCAGTCATCAGAGCTTACTCTTACTGGTTCCTCTTTGTAGGTGACTTTTTGCTTTTCCTGAACTGCTCTCAGGATTCTTTGTCTTTAGTTTTGGCAAGGTTGATTATGCTGTTTTGGTGACTTTCTTTTAGCATCTGTTCTCTATGGAGTTCGTTGAGGTTCTTGGGTGGTTTTCTTCTCATCCTTCATGATATTTTCTGCCAGCAAATCTTCGACAATTCACTCTGTGTTTTCCATTGCCTCCCTCTGTTCTGGAATTCCCATCACACACAGATTTTTCCTCTTGATAGTGTTCCACATAATTCTTAGGCTTTCTTCATTCTTTTTTTTGATTTTTCCTTAAATTGGTGTCAAGGGATTTATCTTCAGATTCACTTATTCTGTCATTCACTGTTTCTGTCTTGCTTGTATATCCTTCTATTGACTTGTCTATTTCTGAAATTTTATTGTTAATCTTTTGGATTTCTAGTTGCTGTTTTTGTATGGTTTTTAATTGTCTGTTTATTTTGTCATTTTGTTCTTCTGTTGTTTTCCTGAATTCTTCTATTGCTTTGTCAGTGTTTTGCTAAATTTTGTCTATGTTCTCCTGGTTTTCTTGGAGAGTTCTGACCTGTACATTCCAAAACCAAACCAAATCCGTTGCCATTGAGTCAGTTACAACTCATAGTGACATTACAGGACAGAGCAGAACTGCCTCTAAGGGTTTCCAAGGAACACCTGGTGGATTTGAACTGCTGACTTTCTGGTTAGCAGCTGTAGCTCTTAATCACTATGCCACCAGGGTTAGTCTTTTTAATTCTTTATCAGGTAGTTCCATTGCCATTTCTTCCTCTGGGAGGTTTCTGGTTCTTTATTTTGGTCACTTGCTGGTCCTGTTTCTTTGTGTGATTTGATACTGTCTGTTGTCTCCGGGGCATCAAGAAGTTATTTATTTATTGTATGTTTGCTGCATCCTGAATTTTTGTTTTGTTTTGTTTTGATATATACGAGTAGGGTGGATATGTGTGCTACTCTGGTAGCTAATACAGTTGCGTTGAAACTCACACCTCCTCTCTCCGGGTGGGTAGGGCCAGCGACTGGGTCTGTGAGCGTGGGTCTCTGTTCACTGATCTTGTGGGGCTGCTGATGATGTAGCTGGTGTTTCTGGTTCAGTGATGTACCTGTCTGGCCAGTTACGTAGCCATGGGTGCAGGGGGCATTCTCCCTGGTCACTGGATTGAGTGTTGTGTGCACTCTGCCGATTGCGGGGTAGTCAGGGCAAGGGTGCCTGGGTCATCGGTCACCGGGTGGGTGGTGTGGAAACTCTCACTGATGTTCCTGGGTGGTCAGGGCTGTGCAGGGGTGTCTGGAGTGGGCACAAGCCTCTGTCTGCAGTGGGGATGCAATGCGGAGGGCGTGGCAGGGGGGATGTCACCTGTCCACATGTGCCCAGTTGGAGGGCGTGCCTCTGCCTGCTAGAGCATGTCATGGGGGAGGTTTTGCAGCCGGCCCTGGCACAGGTGGCTGTAGGGAATGGGAGGCACTGTTTGTCCTCAGGTTCCTGGGTGCAGGTGGCTGGAGGGAATAGGAGGCAGCACTGGCCCTTGGGCCCCTAGTGCAGGTGGCTCGAGGGAGTAGGAGGTGCTGCAGGTCCGTGGGCCCCCAGTGCGAGTCACTGAGTTAAGTGGGAGGCTCCTCCAGTCTGTGGGTTCCTGGCTTAGGGGGCAAGGCTGTGGTGGCTATCGCTGGACTGTGATCATATGTGGGGAGGGGGTATGGGTGTAGAGTGTGGGGGTGTCCCACAGGCCCATGGGCCTCTAGCACTGGGGGCTGGGGTGGATGCTATGGGTAGGGTGCATGCACTTAACTTTTGCAGAGCGGGAAGCACTCCTGCCTGGCTCTGGATGTAAGTGCAGAGTTGTTCCTGCTTGACTGTACCAGGCGATGGGGGTTTCACCTGGGAATGCTTTCTTTGTTTCATTATGACCACACCGTGCAGGTTCAACTAGCAGGGCACTGGTGATCCATAATTTTCTGTGTCCACTGTTTTTATGCTATCTCTTCTTCTTCTTCGTGCTTGGTGTGATTCTTCAGCCTTGTGTTTGATGCTTAGGGTTCCAAAGTTGTCATCTTTATCTGGTTCACTTGTTTTCTCAGGTCTTTGTTATAAGAGAGATGCTGTGAAGCTTCTGACTACTCCACCATGTTGTACCATCTCTTCATGCCCCTTTTTAGTCAGTCCTCTTTCTGCACACCTTGCCCCTGGCAACCACTGTTCTGATTTCTGTTCCTATAATCTTGCCTTTCCCAGAATGCCATATTGTCTTTCCCAGAATGCCATATAAGTAGAATCACACAGTGTTTAGCCTTTTGCATTCGACTTTTCACTGAACAAAATGCTTTTGAGATCCATCCATGTTGTTGCATGCGTCAGTAGGTGTTTTTTTTTTTTTTTTTTGGTCTGTTTTTGTTGTTGTTGTGTAATATTCCATTATGTGGATGTACCACAATTTGTTTATCCGTTCGCTGGTAGAAGAACATCTGAGTAGTTTCCAGATTTTAGCTATTGTGAATAAAGCTGCTGTAAGCATTCACAATCATGTCTTTTTTGTGGACATGTTTCATTTGGATAAAAATACCTTGGGACTGGAGCTTCATTGTAACTACTCTCTGAGGAAGGTATTCTCCCCACTTACAGATAAAGAAACTATACATTTTGGGCAACATGATAAACAGAGCATGATTCTGAGAGAGATTTCCTTATTAGGAGCATTTTGTTTCTTAGATAGGAAGGTGATGGCAGCTCTAATCCACCTGTCTAATGGGGGAGATTTACAAAGCATTGCCCTTCTTTTTTCCTTACAGTTACAGAGGAAAGCCATGAAGAGCCAGCGTTCCAGAATTTTATGCAAGAATCAATGGCACAGTACTGGAAGAGAAGCAACAAATAGGAGAGAGACTTGAGGAAACTTCAGTTGTTTCTGGAAGTCCCAAATTTTGGAACTCTGTGTGAAGGAACTATCCTTACCTCTCTGGCTGGGGGCTACCGTAAAGGACAATTTTCTTCAGAGTAGTAGAGGTCCTGTACTAGAGAAATCTCATGAATCAGATGAAACCAGGCATAGAAGACCCTTGGACCTGGAAGGTAGTTGCTGATTCCTCTTAACCTTCCCGTTGGAAGGATATACTGACTGCTCTTTGAAGCCAATGTCCCTTTAGGCCTGAAAACTTCAAGTTTTATTATTTAGAACTCAAGTACTTTTGCTGCTGATGGATGAATGAGAGAGAGAGAGAGAGAACTTATTTACTCTGTTGTTGACCCCTTCAAATCTCTTTTAGGCTGGATCTATAGCTTCTGTTTTCCCAGCACCTTGCCGTAGACCTACACTATGGATTCCCCTCCTGTTAGGAGAAAGGGAGAGGGGAAATGTAAGCTTGCCCAGGCTGGCAGTCAGTCAGTGTTGGTATGAAATGTGGCTCAAGCTGAGTAGCTCATCACAGGACTCCAGGTCTGTTGAAGGAAGTGGGCAAAACCCATGATTAATGAGTAAGAATCCTGCCTTTGATGGTGACTTGGATAAGTGTTTTTCAGTTTATCTTTATAAGCTGGTCTGTCATGATTTCAGATTAGAAAATTATATCATCCCAAGTAGATTCACGTTTCTGGTTCAGCAGGGAAGATTAAAGCCACATGCCCAAACCTGTTTCAATAAAGAGGTGATGTTTAGTAAAGTTTCCTGTGTGTATATATACTTATTAACCAGGGACAGAGCCAGGCCCTGTCTATATTGTATTTTGCACTAAACTAAGCAAAGTATGTTGATTTACCCAAATGCCATGGATTTGGGTCATGTATACATTCCATACATAATAACTGTGGTTTAAGGGTCTGCCCTGCCTCCACATTCTTCACAGTATCTTAAAACAGTGTATTTCTCTCAAGAATCTATCCCTGCCTTATCTGTACTCCAGCTCAGTGATTCTCAAAGTGTGTGTCCCTGCATCAGGAACATCAGCATCACCAAGGAACTTATTAGAAATGCAGATTCCCAAGCCCCACTCTAGACCTGTTAAACTCTGGCTGTGGGGCCCAGCAGTCTGTTTTAATAAGCCCTCCAGGTGATCCTGGTGCATGTGAAATCTGAGAACCACTGCTCCAACTCACAGCCCATGGCATACTTCCAGGCCTTGTGAACCTCAGGTACCGCTCCTCACATTGTCTGACTTTTAAAACTCTGGACATCAAAGTATCCTAATCTCCATCGGCTGGTGCCTATTCTCTAATTTAAATATTCTAAAGCAATAAAAGTCTATTCTACCATGAAGTATTTCAATATTTTATACCTAGTGGTAACTACTGGTTTAAAAATTTGAACAATTTGGAAAAATCAGTCAAATCAATCAAAACCCTGAGCATATTCGGTTTTTCTCCTTAGTGCCTTTGTAGACTTCTTCCTTAAAGAATACTTAACTCCCCTCTGCCAGAAATGCCATAAGGGCAGGGGCCAAGTCTTAATCATCTTTGTATCCCTTGCACAGGAGCTAGCACATAATAGGTACTCAGTGTTTGCTAAATGAATAAAAATTAAATGCTCAGATGGCTACTTTATGGAAACTGACTGCCTGGTGGCCACTTTCACTAATAAACAAGGGAAAATAAAGCTAAGACTGGAACAGGAATATTTAGATAAGTGTGCTAAGACTTATGTAAGATAGCACAGTTAGCAAATTTATAAATTATTGGTGAAAGTATAACCTCATTTTATTGTGACTGAATTCATATTCTCAATGCCTGGAACATTTAAGGTACTCAATCATATGCTAATAAAAGCTGTGCCATGATTTTTGGGCTCTATTAAAAAAATAGTCTAAGTTTCATTAAGACTTGTATTCTGCAACAGAAAACCAAACTTAAACAGTATTTAGCATGCCAACATCTGTTACCAAGGCATAAAGCATACAATAGCTACTCACTCCTAATTATTAGAGTGTGACATCATTTACTTAATCAATACTGAGACTATCAGATGCCAGGCAGGGCAGACACTGGTAGATGAGTAACAGTCAAGTAGAAAGGTACATGGTTAACCTTTAAAGGCTGCCCATTTAGTAGTACAGGCACAGTGTGCAGAACTCTGGCAGAGGTAGGGTCTGCTGTCCTCTGATGGCCAAGCAGAAGCAACAAATGCATTAACCACAAGCCTGTGCTTAGACAGGTCCTATTTATGTCATTTGCAAAGGAGAAAATGAAAAAAAACACCAAAGAAATGTACATTGTGAAAATACGAAAAAGGAAACAGTCTGAGTCAGTGGAAATAAGAAAAAGGCAAACAGGATGAGGATAAATGGAATAAGTCTAGAGAATGAAGAAGAAAACAAGTGGATGAAAATTGAGAAAGGAGAGGGCTGCCTGAATAAGCTCAAGGCTATGTCACCACAGACCCCTGATTTAATGAGACAACACAGGCAGAACAGTTTAAAAAGGCAATTACAAATAAGTTGTGTAGTGTTTAGCTATTTCCTATTAGGTATTACTACTGGATTCCCAATGACTCGGACCAAAAATGAAGCAAGTTAAATAAAAAAACTGACATCTGATAATATATCTTGTGATTCAATTCAACCACAGCTTCGAGGTTTAGCAAACATCTCAATCCTCACAACATTCCTGCAAGGTAGGTCAAAACAGATTTGATTCTTCTCAAATGTACAAGAGAAATAGCTCTAGAGAACCAAAGTGACTTGTCCATCAGTAAAGACAAGTCAAGGCAGTGCTTTGGTTTCCTGAGTACCGACTCAGTGTTGCGTTCTGTGAAAGGTGGCTTCATTGCTGTGGAAAACTACGAAAATAACACAGAAGTAAAATGCAACCTTATTTGGTTAAATTCAGTACCACTGAAATCAGGAAATTCCACTGTGTTTAAGAGTCAAATCACTGTTTATGGAGACAAATTTTAATACATCACGGTTTCCTGTTGGGTCTTAATGAGGTTTATACAGAAAATCTCCCTCCTTTTCTTCTATATTTTCCTCATCTTCTTCTTACAGTGCTGGTTGAAGACAGGGGAGGACCCCATGAGGCTATCAGTGGAGTGAGAACCATAGCTGCTATCTGAGTCATCAGGGCTCTGGGGGATCCCGGCTTCACTCATGCCTGACATAGGCTCCTCGAAGACATCACTGCCCAGCACACCATGTCCAGAGACATTGCCTTCCTCACTCTCTTGAGGCTCCATTTTCACATGGGCCAGGTTCCAAAGGGGGGATGCATTTACCTCCGCACCTATAAATAGATTAAATAAAACATACACCTAGTGGTAAGCCAAGGGTAGAACAAAGTAGAATGAATATACCACCCAGGGCAGGCTAACATCTTCGGAGTTCAGTTTTCACTTTGACCCTGGTAGTTGGCTGGAGAATATGGTTGTTAGTCTCTGCTTTTTCATCATCAAAAAGTTACCAACTCTGAATTTCTTTGTACTCCCTTCCTCCACTTCACTGGGCGGCCCTATTTCAATCCCTTTCATCCCCAATCTGTTGGGCTACTCAAGCAAGGAAGTCCAACTAGTCAAACATCCTTGAGCAATTAACACTTCCATCTATCTGGCAGTTGTCTTATTAAATTAAGTACAAGCATCAGGGAGAACCAATACAGAATACTAAGGAAAGAAACTGGATCAACTGAAACAACCCTGGTAATCAACAGATTGCAGCAAATCTGCTGCAAAAGACCTCTTTAAAGTGTTAAAAAGCAAAGACATCACTTTGAGGACAAAGGCATGTCTGACCCAAGCCATGGTGTTTTCAATTGCCTCATATGCATACGAAATACGACAATGAATAAGGAAGATCGATGCCTTTGATGAATAAGGAAGAATTGATGCCTTTGAATTATGGTGTTGGCAAAAAATACTGAATACACCATGGACTGCTAGAAGAACAAACAAATCTATCTTGGAAGAAGTACAGCCAGAATGCTCCTTAGAAGCAAGGATGGCGAGACTTCGTCTCATGTACTTTGGACATGTTATTGGGAGGAACCAGTCCCTGGAGAAGGACATCATGCTTGGTAAAGCAGAGGCTGAGCTAAAAAGAGGAAGACCCTCAACGAGATGGACTGACACCGTGGCTGCAACAATGGGCTCCAACACAGCAACAATTATGAGGATGGTGCAGTACCAGGCAGTGTTTTGTTCTGTCGTACATAGGGTCACTATGAGCCAGAACCAACTCGATGGCACCTAACAACAATGGACAGAACAGATACTGCATCTCCATCCTAACTAGGAATTATTTTAAAGCATGCTTATAAAGCTGTGCTAGTCCTCTCTTCCACCAATTACAAAGAGAAGAAGGTCGACATCTCTAGATCAGTGAGGCTGTGTTTGGTTCAGGACTTTCCATTCTCCGGCCCGCCCCACTTTTGTTCTCTCACCTCCAGAACTTGATTCCAAAAAGCAAAAAGTACTGAGATCAGCAGATTTCCCACAATCAGAGTAAGTTGATCTCCCTTACTTGAAGCCTGTGGTGAAGCTTCAACCTCCAGGTTAGACGGGAAACGCTCACTCTGAGCCCCAAGGACCCCCATGGGCAGTGACTGATCTCCAGAAGCAAGGTCTGCCTCCAGCTCCTCACTGACGGGGAAGGTGATGTCGCTCACAGGTTCCTCCTTGATCTTTACAGGTTTCGTGTCCTCTGTGGCCTTCTCAGGATTGACAATCCTTTCATACTCTTCAGAAAGTTGCTTACTAATCTGTTGGCAAGCAAGAGTTAATCTTCCAAGAAATGTTAAAAACAAGTTGCATAGTCGGCTTGTGGCATCCCATGGAAAAGCTAATAGAATAAGTAACAGAAGGGTTTTAAAATATCAATTGCCAATGGAAGGAACTTGTTTAGTGTTGAATTTGTGTTTATAAGTGATAGAGACATGTAAAGAAAGTTTGGCAGAGACAGCTTGTATGTAAGGCAAAAAATAAAGTTAGGCTGATTAAAGATAAATCAGAAAAGATTAATTTTTGGCTATGAAAATGAACACTTGACTTATCTACCCTAGGTATATAATGAATGGTGTGGGAAACCTTAATCACTTAGCAAAGACTTTCTTGTTGTGTGTTAAAAAACTCCTACTCATATTTTAGATTTGGGGAAATAAACAGTGAACAAATGACATGCATAAGGCCACAAGGGTTGATTAGATATTTCTGGTTCTAACCAAAAATGGTGTCCTCCCTACCCTCTGAGCAATATCACCTCACTTTTTTTGTTTGTTTGTTTTTCATAGCACTTAACACCATCTGAAATTCTTTGATTATTTGTTTACTTGTTTTTGTTTCCCCCTCAACAAGAATGCAAGCCCCAGGAACTTGTCTTGTTAGCACTGTATCCCACAGTGCCTGACTCAGAACACTATTCAATAAATTTTTGTTGAATAAAAGCATGCCAACCACATTCTCTTAGACTCCACATACCTGTCTGTAATTGCTTCCAGAGGAAGTATTATCAATGAATGTGGTCACTATGGAACACAGATAGGGCTATAAGAAAACTAAGTTCCAAGACTCTGTGTTCTGCATTCTAGAGCAAGTGTTGTGGGAACCTGCTGAATACCCCTATACCGGACACCTTTGCCCGTTCCTCCACAGGGTCATCTCACCTGTAGCATGTAACTGTGATAGTCCTTGATGCGGTGCTGCCAGAACTTCTGGAGGGAAAGCACACTGCCAATGCCCACTTCATGGAATACCTGCTCCATAATGTCAGGGAAAGGAGTCTGCCCCAGCCGGGCCTCTCGATCCGCAGCAAAGCGCAGCAACTTGGTAAACTTAAGGCAATACTCATGTGCCACATCAGTTAGGGTCTCCAGGACACTTTCATTAGCACTCTCAAAGCCTGCGTGGGCCAGGATTGTGGCCACTGCCTGGTAGAGGAGCTGTCGACAAGAGTGCCAGCTGAGTTCAGTCACAGGCTCCCCTTTCCCACTGAAAAGTGGAGATACAGTAGTGTTAGTGCTCTCACATAGAGGGGATCTGTCCTGTCTCCCTAAGGGTTTTACAATTCCCATCAAAATGCTGTCCTTGCTTTCCTGGGAAATTTTATCCAGCCTAGTAGCCCAGTTTCATCCTGCTGCTGTCAGGGCATGTCTCACCAACCCGGGGTCATATTTCTGAGCTTCTCCAATTACATAAAATTTAAACAGGCAATACACGTCTATAATAAAAAGTTTAAACAGTACAAAGGGGTATCTAGTAAAAAGTAAGTTTCCTTCTCTTCTACCAACTGCTCAATTTTGATCACTTTCAGGATCTGATTAATTTTAACAGTATAGCTCAGACACTGCTCAATGCTGCTCTAATTTCTAATTAACCACAACCATTTCCTCACATCCTGGGCAATATACGGGCTTTCAGAAATTCAGAGTCCCAATTAAGAAACTCTTTATATAAGGGATCATTTTTAAAACTGGGAAGGCAACTCAATTTTCTAAGAGCAATTTAAACCATGTACAGCTCACAAAACATTTTCATCCTATCCTATGCTGTAAAATGGACAAGGTCCATATTATTATTCCTATTTGACCAGTGAGGAAACTGAGGCTCAAATGGGTTGACTTGTCAAAAGTTATTTATGTATTATCAGTAAATGGTGGAGCGTCTGACTCCATGTTCGTCATAATACACCATTTTGCTCCTAATTCACTACTGCAGAAATCTTCATTTTTCTAAGAAAAGACTTCAAAAAGTTGTCTGATCTCTTCAAAATAACTTATAGCAAGCCTCTAATAATTTATCCACCTCCCCCAAATTCCCATCTGTCCTCTGCCTGCCCTCGACAAGGGAAGTAAACAGAGAAGAATAAAGCAGAACACAGAAAATCACTTTCCCCTGGTCTCCAGGCACCATACAGGGGTGCTGGAAGAGCCATTCACCCACTTTATTATCATCTGTTCAGCAGCAACTATTGCAATTCACATACCTGAATAGTTGGAAAATAGATACCAAGTAACTTTTCATTTAATGTTTCCATTATCATTTTCCATGACCAGTCTCTCTGAGCCAAAGGCTAAAGGCCTCAGAAGTGCCTAATAAACAGAGAGAGCTAAGCCAATATTGCTTTATTTGAATGATGTATGCACCTCTTTCAAAGGAAAATAATTGTTTGGGCACTCCTACAGCTAATATAAATAATTTCTATTATAAAGTTTCTTCAATATGTACAAACAAAACTAGAATATCAAACTAAACATTTGATATTCACAGCTCTTACATGACAATTAAAATCAGAAATTAGACACAAAACTACACAATTCTAACTGACAGCATCAATTTAATATGATGGATGATATTATTTTACTGAAACTAAATTGCTCTCAAAATGTGAATATGGAACTCACTGCTATGGAGCAAGTTTTTCGCGTTGGGTAAAATTTATCCGAGCTTGTGCCATGTAATGACCCTGCTATCCCGTCCCTTTCTGTATTCCAAAGACTTTAAAACCTTGACATCATCAGGCCTTCATCTGGTCCACCTGCAATCCTTACATAAATCTATTTCTGCTCTTTTCTCATTTTTGAGACAATTAAAATAGCAACTATTATCACCAACAGGCAGATGCAATAATCAATATACAGTATCACGTAGTCTTTTTGTCAAAAATATTTAACCGGAATCTAATTTTGAGGAAATAATCAGAAAATCCAGCAAGTGGAACATTCTACAAGACAACTGATCTGGACTCTTAAAAAAAAAAAAAACACTAGTATATTTTTTAAAAAGGTAGGAGCTGTTCTAGCTTAAAAGATACTGAAGAGGCGTAACAATCAAATGCAATGCATGAATTGGGAAAAATATATCTAAAAAAGACATTTTAGGGACAATTGGAAAATCTGAATATGGATATATTAGATGATATTGAATTAATGTTCATTTGCTTTGGTGTGCTGATAGTATTGTGATTATGTCGAAAATTTTCCTTATTTTTAGGATATGCATGCTGAAAAATTTAGGGGTGAAATGTGATGTCTGCAACTGACTTTACAATGTTTGGCAAATAAAACTGTATGTGTGTGTATATACATATATGTATATATATGTGTACACAGTTGCATGTGTATGTTCATACATATACATACACATACATATGTGAGAAAGAAACGGCAAAATTTTAACAATTGAGGAATCAGGTAAAAGGCATTTGGGCATTCATTGTACTATTATTTAAACTTTTCTGTAGGTTTGAAAAATTTCAAAAGAAAAAGAAAAAAAATAATTATTTGGCACCAAATACAAACATACACACTGAAAACTAGCAGTAGCACTAGGTTATAAGGCAGGCATTCAGACAATCTGTAGTAGTGCTTCTCAAAATTAAATATGCATATGACCCTTCTGGGGATTTTGTTAAAATGGAGGTTCTGATTCAGCAGGTCTTGGTGGGGCCTGGGATTCTGCATTTCTAACAAGCTCCCAAGTGATGCTGATGCTGCTAGTCTTGGACTAGATTTTGAGTAGCAAGGATCAAGAATATCCTTGTATTAGTATTTCTTAAATTATGTCATCAAAACAAAAACACAGTTTTAAAATACTTGTATAGAACTTATGGATTCCAAATAATACCAGAATGAGTCCATGAATCCCAAATTGAGGACACAGGGCTAGACCTGTAATAATAATAATAATAATAATAATAAACCCATTGCTGTCTAGTTGATTTCGACTCACAGTGACCCTGTAAGACAGAGAAGAACTGCCCCATAAGGTTTCCAAGGCTGTAATCTTTACCAAAGTAGACTACCCCATCTTTCTCCCACAGAGCAGCTGGTGGGTTCGAACTGCTGACCTTTCAGTTAGCAGCTGAGCACTGAATCACTGTGCCACCAGGGCTCTTCAAACCCATAATATCACTTAATCACTGTGCCACCAGGGCTCTTCTTAAATCAAATGGGCTAAACAATAAGAGCCATAAGGCCATGGCCTGTTTTACATACCAGTGTATTACTTTGCTCTAGTTAAGTGCTTGGCACATAGTAGGTACTCAGTAAATATTTGTTGCATCAAAAATTGAAAGATTAAAGCCTCTGGATTCAGATGATTGGGGTTCAAGTCTTACACTTCCCATTAATTATCTAAGAAACTTTGGCCAAGTCAGTTACTATCTCTTATCCTCAATTTCCTCATGTGGAAAATGGAAATGTTATTACAGGCATACCTTGTTTTATTGTACTTCACTTTATTGTACTTGGCAGATACTGAGTTTTTTTTAACAAACTGAACGTTTGTGGCAACCCTGTGTGGAGCAAGTCTGTCGGCACCATTTTTCCAACAGCACGTGCTTACTTCATGTCTGTGTCACATTTTGGTAATACGCATAATATTTCAAATTTCTCATCATTATTTTATCTGTTATGGTGGTCTGTGATTAGTGATCTTTGATGTTACAGCAAACTTAAATCAATAAATGTTGCGTGTGTTCTCACTGCTTCACCAACTGGCTGTTCCTCGTTTCTCTCCCACTCCTCAGCCCTCCCTATTCCCTGAGACACAACAATATTAAAATTAGGCCAATTAATAACCCTCCTATGGCCTCTAAGTGTTCAAGTGAAAAGAAGAGTCACATGTCTCTCACTTTAAATCAAAAGCTAGACATGATTAAGCTTAGTGAGGAAGGCATGTCAAAAGCCGAGATAGGCTGAAAGCTAGGCCTCTTGTGCCAAGCAGTTAGCCAAGTTGTGAATGCAAAAGAAAAGTTCTTAAAGGAAATTAAAAGTGCTACTCCAGTGAACACACGAATAATAAGAAAGCAAAACAGCCTTATTGCTGATTTGGGGAAAGTTTTAGTGGTCTAGAAAGAAGATCAAACCAGCCACAACATTCCTTTAAGCCAAAGCCTAATCCAGAGCAAGGCTCGAACTCTCTTCAATTCCATAAAGGCTGAGACAAGTGAGGAAGCTGCAGAAGAGAAGTTTGAAGCTAGAAGAGCTTGGTTCATGAGGTTTAAGGAAAGAAGCCATCTCCGTAACATAAAAGAGCAAGGTGAAGCAGCAACTGTTAATGTAGAAGCTGCAGCAAGTTATGCAGAGACCTAGCTGTTGAAGGTGGCTACACTAAACAACAGATTTTCAGTGTAGATGAAACAGCCTTATATTGGAAGAAGATGCCATCTAGGACTTCCATAGTTAGAGAGGAGAAGTCAATGCGTGGCTTCAAAGCTTCAAAGGACAGTCTGACACTCTTGTTAGGGGCTAATGCAGATGGTGACTTTAAGGTGAAGCAAATGCTCATTTACTATTCTGAAAATCCTAGGGTACTTAAGAGTTATGCTAAATCTACTCTGCCTGCACCGTATAACTGAACAACAAAGCCTGAATGACAGCACATCTGTTCACAACATGGTTTACTGAATATTTTAAGCCTACTGTTAAGACCTACTGCTCAGAAAAAAAGATTTCTTTCAAAATATCACTGCTTACTGACAATATACCTGGTTACCCAAGAGCTCTGATGGAGTGTACAAGGAGATTAATGTTGTTTTCATGCCTGCTAATACAACATCCATTCTGCAGCCCATGGATCAAAGAGTAATTTTGACTTTTAAGTCTTATTATTGAAGAAATACATTTTATAAGACTCTTGCTACCATAGATAGTGATTCCTCTGAGTAACGTAGGCAAAGTAAATTGAAAACCTTCTGTAAAGGATTCACCATCCTAAATGCCATTAAGAACATTTGTGATCTATGGGAGGAGGTCAAAATATCAGCGTTAACAGGAGTTTGGAAGAAGTTGATTCCAACTCTCATGGATAACTTTGAGGGGTTCAAGATTTCAGTGGAGGAATAACTGCAGATGTGGTGGAAATAGAAAGAGAACTAGAATTAGAAGTGGAGCCTGAAGGTGTGACTGAATTGCTGCAATCTTATGATAAAACTTTAACGGATAAAGAGTTGCTTCTTATGGATGAGCAAAGAAAGTAGTTTCTTGAGATGGAACCTACTCCTGGTGAAGATGCTATGAACATTGTTCAAATGGCAACAAAGGATTTAGAATATTACATAAATTTAGTTGATAAAGCAGCAGCAGGGTTTGAGAGGATCGACTCCAATTTTGAAAGAAGTTCTACTGTGTGTAAAATGCTATCAAACAGCATCACATGCTACAGAGAAATCTTTTGTAAAAGGAAGAGTCAACTGATGCGGCAAACTTCATTGTTGTCTTATTTTAAGAAATTGCCACAGCCACCCCAACTTTCAGCAACCACCACCCTGATCAGTTAGCAGCCATCAACATCAAGGCAAGACCTTCCACCAGCAAAAAAGATAATGACTTGCTGAAGCCTCAGATGATGGTTAGCATTTTTTAGCAATAAAGTATTTTTAAATTAAGGTATGTACATTTTTTTTAGACATAATATTATTGAACACTTACTAGACTACAGTACCGTGTAAACATAACTTTTACACACACTGGGAAACCAAAAAATTCATGTGATTTGCTTTATTGCTGTATTTCGGTCGTCTGGAACCGAACCCGCAATATCTCTGCAGTATGCCTGTACATGCCTGACAGGGTTGTTGGGGTGATTATTTGAGAAAAGCAGGATAATAGCAAAGCCTTCCCTTACCGATAAAAGTCACTATCTGGGTCACTGTGCCGGATCTGGAATGGTGCATTGGGATTCTTGCAATCTAAAGGCAGGAGGTCATCAGGGAGAGGAGGTGATCCAGGGCAGGAGGGAAGGGGTTCACTCTCTTCAGTCTTTACACCTTCTGTCTGCTGCTGATTCTGGGCCTGAGCGGTGGCAATGAGGTTGCGCAGATGTCGGTTGTGCTGGATCAGCTGAATGGTATGGATGGTGAGGCTGCAAGGCTCTGAGGGGATGTCCAGCATAGTGGGGGGCCTGGGCTTGTTGGCTGAAGGCTGGTGTAAGGGTGGGTCATGGACTTCCACCAGACGGAACTCCCGTGGGAGCAAATCAAAGGAACTTCTATTGGTTTGGTTTGATGAGATTGGTATCTCTCCCCAATATCTCAACATTCTGGACTAAGAAGGGAAGAGCTCTCAGGTTAAATGTAGATGATATCCTAAGAGTGGTGTTTTTAAATCTCCGGCAACCAAAGGTTTTAGGCTTCTGTAGTGAAAAATATCAAGTCTAGCCAACTATTTACGTAGGAAGTAGGCCCTTCAAGATCACCTAGAAAAATGTCAGTGTCAGCAAAACTGTGGGACCAAAGATGTTCTCCCTAAAGAAATTAAGAGAAATATAACTGTTAAATGCCAGTCATCACAATTACAATGGTACTTTCTACTGTACTAAACCACAGGTAAAATTTGGGTAAATAGTATACTAAGAGTTGGAATGGTATCTGGGGCTCTAGTGCCCACACTGTTTTCCATTTCACTTCACTTACTCATACTAGAACTACCATCATCTCCAATCCCGAACAATTTGCAAGGGATGATGCTTAAATATGATGCCTGGAGTATTTCTCAATCAGAGTATCTTGACACATCTGTCTTAGATCAGTAAGAGAAAAGGGAGTAGAGTTAAACATAAGAAAAAATGGTTCTTACTCTGCATGTGTCAACCATGAGAACCTTTTAACTGGTCCTGGTAGAAACGTTTATGAAACACTAATCTAAATGGCCTTATGCTTTCAACTTCTGATATATATGTATAGGAAAGAATCTGAGAGATTTCTGTAGCCTCCTAACTAGTATCCCTTCCTCCAGTCTAACTGTGTCTAATCTATTTTCTATACTTCTGCTAGACTTAATATTTTTAAAACTCAGATCTAATGGTTTCCTACTGCCTATTGGAAAAAATCAGTCAGAATTCTTTGGCCTAGTATTGAACAAAATTCACTCTGGCTTCAACCCACCTTTTCAGATTCCCATATGTCTCCTCAAGTCCAACACACTTTTATCGAATGCCAGGCATTATGTGGGGAGGCAAAGATCAATAATGCAAAATCCTTGTCCTGAGGTGAAAGAGAGAAACATAAACAGAACATTTCAACACGAAAGTATGTGATAAATACTGTTCTAGAGGCATAGACCTAGTACACTGAAAGCACCAAGAAGGAGCTTCCTAGGGGAAATGACCACCTTAGTTCTAACAATATCATACTACTCAGTTTTTTGAGAATGCCATGCGTTTTCACTATTGAGTCTACAAGCTGTGGTCTCTGGCAGAAATGCCCTGCCACCCCCCACATCCCTGGTTGACTTGTATTCCTTCTTAAGTATAGCTTAAGTCATCCCCTTCTGTCATGGATTGAATTGTGTCCCCCCAAAATATCTGTGAAGTTGGCTAGGCCATGATTCCCTGTATTGTGTGACTGTCCCACCATTTTGGCATCTGATGTGATTTTCCTATGTGTTGTAAATCCTATCTCTACAATGTTAATGAGATGAGATATGGAGCAGTTACGCAGACTCAATCTACAAGATTAATCTACAGCTTAAGCCAATCCCTTTTGAGACATAAAAGAGAGAAGCAAGTAGAAAGACAGGGGGTCCTCATACCACCAAGAAAGCAGTGCCAGGAGCAGAGCATGTTCTTTAGACCTCAGGTTCCTGCGCGGAGAAGCTCCTAGACCAAGGCAAGACTGATGACAAGGACCTTCCTCTAGAACCGACAGAGAGAGAAAGCCTTCCCTTAGAGCTGGCGCTCTGAATTTGGTCATCTAGCCTCCCAGACTGTGAGAGAATAAATTTCTCTTTGTTGAAGCCATCTGCTTCTGGTATTTCTGATACAGCAGCAATAGATGACTAAGACAGAATTTGGTACTGGGAGTGGGGTGCTGCTCTAACAAATATCTAAAATGTAAAACTGGTTTTGAAACTGTGAATAGGTAGAGGCTAGAAGAGTTTTAAAGTGCCTAATAGTAAAAGCCTAGTTGGCCTTGAACAGACTGTTGGTGGAATTATGGATTTCAAAGACAATTGTGTTGAGGACTCAGAAGGAAGTGAGGGGAGCTGTCACACTGGAGATGGTGCAGACGGCCAAAGGGAGCAGCAGACAACCAGCAGCACTAGAACCTGGAGACCAGTGCGAGATGGCACTAGAGCCGACCCACAGAGTGAGAGAGCTGAGTGCCTTTGTGCAGGAGGCTTCTTGGTGGAGGAGGGTGCCTCCAGACACATATCAGTGGAGCTAAAGAGCTTTGGAACACTTGCCCCAGCAGGGCAGACACAGGCTGAGAGGCCCGAGGAGCTGAAAGGCCAAGGAACCAGGAAAAGCTGAAGAGACAGGAACACAGGAAGAAGAGCTGCCTCAGTCTCAAAAGGTAAGGCCTTGACCTATGGGGTCTCAAAGGGTGGAGCTGCCAGTCAGATGGACTAGGCGAATGGGGACAACCAAAGCTGAGGGAGCAGAGTTGCCATCCCAGTGGGCCTGGAAGGTGGAGCTGAAGCCTAAGGCCGAGGGGCCTCTACACAGAATCCAGAGAGTATGGCCGATACCTAGAGCCTGGAGGGCAGGGCTATTGTGTAAATGGTCTCAGAAAACAGAGAGAGATTTATATCAAGGAAATGGCTTACACAGTTGTACAGGCTGGAATGTCTCAAGTCCGTGGTTCAAGATACAGGCTTCTCCCAATTCACATAGCTGCAGGAGCTGGCGAACTTGAGGTTAGCAGGTCAGCGAGCAGGGCTCTTGCTCGCAGGCTGTAAAGATCAATGAACCCCAAGATTGGCAGGCAAGATCGCAGATAAGCAGCTAGCTCAAGTCCCAAGAACCAGAGGTCAGACAAACAGGAGCCAGCTGCAGGATCTAGCCTGAGCAAAAAGTCCCCTAGCCTTGCTAGAATGGTCCGCTTATTTTAGATGTGGGCCACATGCCCAAGGAAACTCCCTTTCAACTGATTGGCTACTCACAGCAGATCCCATCATGGAAGTGATCACATATCAAATCTCAACAGGAAAGTGATCACATATTATACGACTGCCAAAACACAGAATCACGGCCCAGCCAAGTTGACAGTCTTAACCATCATACCCTCCGTTACCTCCCTAGTACATCTCCCTTCATTATATTCACACAGCACTTTGCACTTTTCCATCAGCGCATTTATCCCCGGATTTTAACAAGGACTCAATCTCAATCAATTCTATTATCTACTCCTCATGGCCATAATCTTAGTATAGTGTCTGCTACACAGTAATATCTAACATTTCTTGAGTGCTTACTATGTGCCAGGCTTTGCCTTTATTGTAGATACTACTATTATTACCATTTTTTCGGATGTGGAAACTGAGGCCCAATATCTTGCCCAGTGTCACAAGTGGCCGAGGAGGGAAATCAGGATAGTTGGGCTCCAGACTCCGCACTCTTAACCACTAAACTACGCTGCCTCAATAATTGGTTTCGGGAAGAATAGAATAATGAACGAATAAACGAACGAAGTAACAAAAATTCACCTACCTTCACCGAAAGCGCGAAAAGAGAGACGAAGGGCAGGCACCAAGCACAAGGAATGCCCGAGGCCCTCCGCGGGGCTCCTCAGTCACGGTCAGCAGGAGACAACCACAGCATCCTTGGGTTGCCTGATGCCCGGGGCAGCCAGGAGACGGAGAGGTCTGGACCTGCGCCGAGGCAAGGAGGTGCCACTATTCACTGTTGCGACGGATTTACGACTCCGAGAAGCTAGAGGCGATAGTCCTGTCAGGCCCGGAAGGCTAGTTTGTTGATTTGGTCAGAAGCTGCCGGAAGCGCTTCTTTTCACTCAGGTTCTGCCACAGGAAGTTATTACTATCCTGTTGTACCTTATAAAGATGTCCCTATTCTGCTTAGCACTTCTTTTTCTGTTTCTCCTCTTATTACGACCTTCCTTTGTTATCGCACCACTTCGCGACGTTCAGGGTCGTGAAGAAGCGACGCCACCATCGCTACCCAAAGAAGCCGTTGGGAGCTGGGGAGAAGGAGGCGTGAAGAGGAACGTAGCGACCGACGGGTGAGGTTTCCCTGGAACAGATTTCGAGACGTCACCCGGTTGAGTATGGCTGATTTCTTCTCTCAGTCAGAGCCGCTGGCTCCGCTAGAACTCAACCGAGACTTCAAGAAGCCAGCCCTGCCGGTGCCCCCGGCGGTGCAGGTGAAGGTTCCGGTCACTAATCCTTCAAACCCTGAGGAGGTGAAGAAAGAAAGGCCCACGGCGCTGCTGGACACTGATTCCGCGGAGCCCGACGTCTCGCCAGCCCCGCCTGACAGCGGGGAGACTAGGGGTCCACAGGAGGAGAAGCTGCGTCCCCTCACAGCGGCTTCTTCCCCTGGCGGCCCATCCCGAGCGCCTGCCTACCAAGAGCCGCCTTGGGGCGGCCCGGCCACAGCCCCCTACAGCCTAGAGATCCTGAAGGGCGGCATCATTCTTGGCACCCGTAGCTTGAAAGGGGCGAGTCGCTGTCTTTTCGGGCGGCTGTCTAGCTGCGACGTGTGCCTGGAGCACCCTTCGGTGTCTCGGTACCACGCCGTGCTACAGCACAGGGTGTCGGGGCCTGACGGAGAATGCGGCGGCCACGGGCCCGGCTTCTACCTCTACGATCTGGGAAGCACCCATGGCAGTTTTCTCAACAAAACCCGCATCCCACCCCGCACCTATTGTCGGGTCCACGTCGGACATGTTCTTCGCTTTGGAGGCAGCACCCGGCTCTTTATTCTGCAGGTAAATCCGAAAACCTAGAATAGCAATCTGGAGCGCACCGGTCTGGGTCCCTGAGCTCCTTAATCTTTCGCCGAGGAAGGAGATTCTCCCAGCCAGCGATTCCAAAAATGGACGAACCTAGCCCGTCGAGAGAAGAAATCTGATTAATAACTTAGTCAGAGTTAAAAGTTTTATTGGGTGGAAAAACTGTCCTAGAACAGGGAGCACCCCTCAGCAGAGATGACCTTGTCATATTACAAATTTTGGTCGGCTTGTATATAGTACAAACTGCTAGGGGATTTCCCAAAAAGGAAATTTAAAATAATTGGTTGTCATTTACTTAATCGGCAGGAGGTGGCTTGGATTGGTTTACTAAGTCTGCATTCTATAGGTTAGTCATGGCTTATCTGATTATTTGTACTTTTCTTAAAACTGTCTTTAACATGAGTTTTTAGCTTCGTGAAGGGTTAAGAGTTAAGTTTAAAGGAGGTGGGGAGGCACTTTATTTAACAATGTCCCCCCTTCTCTTTATCTTCTTAATCCCAGTAGGATGTAACTACTCTCAAATACCAGCACTTATGAAATAAAATAATAAAAAAAGGCTCTACAGACTTGAATATGTTACTGATTGCCTTTTGAAATTCCTAAGCTAGGGAAGATTGTCCTAACAAAAGAATGAAAACAAGAAGTTTCAATCAGTCGGAGGTTTGGAATCCTTTTTAAGTTGATGAACAAAAGACTCTAGATTTAAACTAGCATTAAGTATTCTAAAAAATTTAAGGGTTGGAACTAGATACGCTAATCCAGAAAGTTCTTGCCAATTGGAAGTGGGAGGCAAAATCTGAGCAGAGAACAAAATAATCATTTTGGCACTCTGGGAATGGATAACATGGTTGCCTACCTGTAAAAGGAATAAAAACAGAATACAAATAAATAAATAAATAAATAATGATACTAGGTATAGCCCAGGTTTGAGGCTCAGTCATGGACTTGACCCCCAGTTAAGGAAGCTGTTTACCTTGTGTCTTAGGCTGGGTTCTCTAGAGGAGCAAAACTATGAAGCATATATATAGAGAGAGAGGGAGGGGGAGAGAGAAAGGGGGAGATTTTTTTTTTTATTGTTGTGCTTTAAGTGAAAGTTTACAATTCGAATTATTCTCTCATACAAAAATTTATACGTACATTGTTTTGTGACCCTACTTGCTCTCTCTATCCTGTGACAGCACACTCTTCCTTTCCATCCCGGATTTCCCGCTTCCATTCAACCAGGGTCTGACCCTCTCTGCCTTCTCATCTCTCCTTGGGACGAGAGCTGCTCATTTAATTTCATATATCTACTTGAGCTAAGAAGCACACTCTTCACGAGTATCATTGTATGTTCCATAGTCCAGTCTAATCTTTGTCTGAAGAATTGGCCTCGGGAATGGTTTTAGTTTTGGGCTGGGAGCCCGGGGGCCACGTCTTCCAGGGTCCCTCCAGTCTCAATTAAACCATTAAGTTTGGTCTTTTTAGTAGAATTTGAGTTCTGCACCCCATTTCTCTCCTGCTTCATCAGGGACTCTCTGTTGTGTTCCCTGTCAGGGCAGTCATTGTGGTAGCTGAGCAATGTCTAATTCTTCTGGTCTCAGGCTGTTGAAGTCTCTGGTTTATGTGGCCCTTTCTGTCTCTTGGGCTAATACTTTCCTTGTGTCCATGGTGTTCTTCATTCTCCTTTACTCCAGGTGGGTTGGGACCAATTAATGCATCTTAGATGGCCACTTGCTAGCCTTTAAGACCCCAGACGCCACTCACCAAAGTGGGATGCAGAACATTTTCTTCAAAAACTTTGTTGTGCTGATTGATCTAGATGTCCCCTGAAAGCATGGTCCCCAGACTCCCACCCCTGCTACTCTGTCCGTTGATGTGTTTGGTTGTACTCAGGAAATTTCTTAGCTTTGGTTTAGTCCAGTTGTGCTCACTTACCCTGTAGTGTGTGCTGTCCTTCCCTTCACCTAAGATAATTCTTATCTACTTTCTAGTTAGTGAATACCCCCTCCCTCCCTCCCTAGCCTGATAACCATCAAAGAATGTTGTCTTCTGTGTTTAAATCTTTTCTTGAGTTTTTATAATAGTGGTCTTATACAATATTTGTCCTTTTGCAACTAAGTTCACTCAGCATAATACCTTCCAGATTCCTCCACATTATGTTTCATGGCTTCATCGTTGTTCTTTATCGTGCATAGTATTCCATTGTGTGGATATACCATAATTTGTTTATCCATTCGTCCATTGATGGGCACCTAGGTTGTTTCCATCTCTGAGCTATCGTGACCAATGCTCCAGTGAACATGGATGTGCATGTATCTATTCATGTGACAGCTTTTAATTCTCTAGGATATATTCCAAGGAGCGAGATGTACTGGATTGTTGGTACTTCTATTTCTAGCTTTTTAAGGAAGCACCGAATCGATTTCCATAGTGGTTGTACCATTTTACATTCCCGCCAACAGTGTATAAGGAGAGAGGGAGATTTATCTCAAGGAAATGGGTCACGTGGATTTAGATGCTGACAAAATGCAAAAGAGCAGAGCTCAAATCCTGGAGAGACTGATCCTCAGACCCTGTGAGATTGATGAGGGGAACAGTGGACACAAAGGGTCCTTGTGGACACCGGCACCTGTTCACTCACCAGCCACACGTTTGTTAAGGGGTATTTTCCGGTTCCCGCTCCTGACACAGAACTGTTGAAAGAAAACATCTGATCAGTAAGTCAATTAGAGTTAAATGTTTTATTGAGTGGAGAAAACTTTGAGAACAGGGAGCACCCCTCAGAAAATATACAGCTTATATGCAGTACAAACTGTTAGGGGATTTCCCAAAAGAGGTATTTAAAGTAATTGGTTGTCATTCACTTAATTGGCAGTTAGCAGCTTGGATTGGTTAATTAAGTTTGTGTGTCTGTATTCTATAGGCCAGTTATGCCTTATTTAATTACTTAAACTTTTCCAAGAACTATGTTTATCGTGAGTTTTTAGTTTCTGTAAAGAGTTAAGAGTTATGTTTAAACAGGCAGGGACCGTATTCTTTTAACACCCCTCAACTCCAGACCTATGTACAGACTGACCTATTTCTGGAAACGACTTCCACAATCCTGAACTCAAAACAAATTCTTTTGCTTGGTTCATCAGGGACCAGAGGAAGACCGAGAGGCGGAATCTGAGTTAACTGTAACACAGTTGAAGGAATTGCGCAAGCAGAAACAAATGATGTTGGAGAAGGAGATGTTAGGAGAAGACTCAGATGAAGAAGAGGAAATGGATACCACCGAAGGGAAGAGAAATACTAGTAGTCAAGATGATGAGATGGGCTGCACCTGGGGAATGGGTAAGACATTAAAATTGCTGCCAGAGGTTAATACTTTAAATTTATTACTTGTGGTACCCTTAAATGTTTTTTATTATACAACTTTTCATAACTCTTTCAGGTAGGGCAGGTGCCATCTTTATACAAATTTTACACACATTTTGGAGGATGGATATACAGGGTATAGAAACATAAAAAGATAATGACCTTAATATGTAGTTGGGAAGACAGGATAAATATTATGAAATTACTTGTGCCAAATTATAAGTGCTGTTAAGAAAAATAAAAGTGCAAGGAAATTATATAGGATTTATTCAAGCAGTTATTCTGTATGCGTACGGAGAGATCATGTTACTTCTAAAAAACAAATAGCTCAATGCTAGTTACAACGAGACTTTTAAGGAAAAGAGGAAAACAGAGTAAAAATTAACCATTAGCTAGTCTCAACATGATTGATTGAAATCGTGACCCCTTTCTGAAATCAGCTGGCATCAAGTTACTAGTTGATTTCTGTGGCTCCCATTCATTTGAAATTGCCTAAAATTAAATTCCTTGTATGAGATAAACTTTAAATGGCTTCATGGTTATCACAGTTGTCTTATCCCAGAGGGGGTTTGTGATTTTATGGTTACCTGTCTCCACATTTCTTTTTATCTATTCTTGGATGTATTTCACGTTGGTCAGTGACCTTTGTGCATGTTCCTGTATGCTCCGAGGCGTCTGTCAATCCCTGTTCTTCAGTCTCTTTCTTTTAATAGTGCCAAACAAAAGCTAAAAACCATAAGTTACCTTACCATGCTACAATAAGGGTTCAGAGAAGGACTTAAACCTGCTCTGTCCAGTGTGGTAGACACTAGCCACATGTAGTTTTTGAGCACTTGAAATGTAGCTAATCCAAATTGACGTGCAGTAAGTGTAAAATACACACTCAGTTTTAAAGATCTAGTGTGAAAAAGAAATGCAAAATATCTCATTCATAATATTTATTGATTACATGTTGAAATGATGATATCACCTGTTTCGTTTTCCTTTTTTAATGTGGCTACTAGAATATTTACGATTACATATATGGCTTTCGTGTTTCTATTGGGCAGCACTGATTTAGATCTTTGGGAAACTGTAAGTATATAAGCAGAAGGGTGTTAAGCTGGGCCTTGCAGGAAAGGAAAAGTAGCCCTTTGAAGCTGAATTTGTGAGTGAACCTTGTGAGTGGTGTTCAGGGCAGGGGGTTGATGATTTTAAGCGAGTGATGAGTAGACTAGTTTAGTTGGCAGATATGGGAAGTTTTAGGAAATTAAAATGGGGACAAAGTTTTAGACCTGTGTCTCAGATGATGAGAATGCCAGGCTGGGGAGCTCAAATTTGTTTTTTTCCATAGAAAACATGGTAAGTAATTTTGCTTTTAAACTATAGTGATGGAGAAAACAAAAATTAAGGTGCTATGAAAACAAATTTTGATGTGTCACACAATTTAGAAAACCTGAAATGTTCCTAACTAGATTATGGTAGTTTTTCCTTCTCTCTCTCTGAAAAACCTTTCTTTTCATCACTGATAACTGAATCGTTATGCAGCCTGAAGGATAGTAGGTGTCATTCAGATTATCTCTTTAGATGTTTTATTTAATTTATTTATTATTTTTTCCCGTTTCCTGTAGGAGAAGATGCTGTAGAGGATGAGGCTGAAGAGAACCCTATTGTCTTAGAATTTCAGCAGGAAAGAGAGGCCTTTTATATAAAGGATCCAAAAAAGGCTCTCCAAGGTTTTTTTGACCGAGAAGGTATGTAAACAGATTCTGACTCTGCCAGTGTCTACAGCAGTGTTGTTTCCCAAGGTTTCAGGTTGAGAGCTACACTTAGAATGCTATATTTTATCTGCCTACCTTTTTGTTCAGTTTTTGCCTTTGTAGTCAGTTGCTTCAGGTTTTTTTTAATTGTACTTTAGATGAAGCTTCACAGAATGAGCTAGCTTCTCATTAAACAGTTAGTACACACCTTGTTTTATGACATTCATTAACAGCCCCATGACGTGACAACACTCTCCCTTCTCGACCTTGGGTTCCCTATTACCAGCTTTCTAGCCCTGCTTGCCTTCTAGTCCTTGCCCCTGAGCTTATGGACCCTTTTAGTTTCGTTTTGTTTTATGGGCCTGTCTAATCTTTGGCTGAAGGATGAACTTGGGGAGTGACTTCGTTACGGAGCTAAAAGACCGTCCGGGGGCCATACTCTCAGGGTTTCTGCAGTCTCTGTCAGGCTAGTAAGTCTGGTCTTTTTTTTTCTTTAATCTTTTTTTTATTGTACTTTAGGTAAAGGTTTATAGAACAAATAGTTTCTCATTAAACAGTCAGTACACATAGTGTTTTATGACACTGGTTAACAACCCACAACATGTCAACACTCGACCTTGGAGGACTTTTTTTTTTTTTTGGTGAAAATACACATAGCCGAAGATACACCATTTCAAAAATTTCTACATGTACAATTCAGTGACATTGATTATGTTCTTCTAGTTGTGCTGCTATTCTCACTTTAAATGAAGGTTTACTGAACAAAATAGTTTCTCATTAAACAGTATATATATTGCCCTATGACAATGCCCCACGACAGGTCAACACTGTCCTTTCTTAAGCTTGGATTCCCGATCATGAGCTTTCCTGTCCCCTCCTGCCTTCTAGTCCTTGTCCCTGCACTGCTGTGCCTCATTAGTCCCATTTTGTTTTATGGGGCTGTCCAATCCCCGGCTGAACGGTGAACCTCGGGAGAGACTTCACCACTGAGCTAAAGGGTATCTGGGGGCCATACTCTCAGGGTTTCTCCAGTCTGTCAGGCCAGTACATCTTTTTTGTGTGTGTGTGTGTTAGAATTTTGTTCTACATCCTTCTCCAGCTCTGTCCCGGACCCTCTGTTGTGATCTCGGTCAGAGCAGTCAGTGGTGGTAGCCTGGCACCATCTAGCTGTACTGGGTTCAGTCTGGTGGAGGCCTTGGTAGCTGTGGTCCATTAGTCCTTTGGACTAATCTTTTCCTTGTATCCTGTTCTCTTCATTCTCTTGCTTCCAAAGGGGTGAGACCAGTGGAGTATCTTAGATGGCCGGTCACACGCTTTTAAGATCCTAGACGCTACTTACCAAAGTAGAATGTAGAACATCTTCTTTATACACTGTGTTACGTCAGTTGAGCTAGATGTTCCCCGAGACCATGGTCCACACAGCACTCGGCCCAGCAATTCAGTCCCTCAGGGTGTTTGGATGTGTCTATGGAGCTTCCATGACCTTGCCTTGTACAAGTGCTGGCTTCCCCAGTATTGTGTACTGTCTTACCCTTCACCAAAGTTACCACTTATTTACTGTCTATTTAGTGTTTTTCCATCCCTGCCTTTCCCCTTCCCTCCCTTGTATCCATCAAAGATTGTTTCTTTTTGTGTGTAAATCTTTTCATGAATTTTTGTAGTAGTGGTCTCATACAATATTTATCCTTTTGTGATTGACATATTTCACTGAGCATAATGCCTTCTGGATTCATCCATGTTGTGAGATGCTTCACAGATTCATCATTGTTCTTTATTGTTGCATAGTACTCCATTGTGTGTATATACCATAGTTTATCCATTCATCTGTTGATGGGCATCTATTTATTGTTTCCATCTTTTTACTATTGTGAACAGTGCTGCAGTGAACATGGGTGTGCATATGTCTATTCATATGATGACTCTTATTTCTCTATGATATATTCCTAGGAGTGGGATTGCTGGAGCATATGGTATTTCTATTTCTAGCTTTCTAAGGAAGCGCTATATCGTTTTCCAAAATGGTTGTACCATTTCACATTCCCTCAGCAGTGCAAAAGAGTTCCAGTCTCCCTGCAGCCTCTCCAACATTTTTTATTTTCTGTTTGTTTTGATTCATGCCAGTAATGCTGGCGTGAGATAGTATGTCATTGTAGTTTTGATTTGCATTTCTCTAATGGCTAGTGATCGTGAGCATTTCCTCATGTGTTTGTTAGCTGCTTGAATGTCTTCTTTGGTGAAGTGTCTGTTTGTCTCCTTCGCCCATTTTTTAAATGGATTATTTGTCTTTTTGTTGTAGAGGTGTTGGATTTTCCTGTAGATTTTAGAGATTAGACCTTTGTCTGATTTGTAATAGTCAAAATTTTTTTCCCAGTCTGTAGGTTCTCCTTTTACTGTTTAGGTGAAGTCTTTTGATGAGTGTAAGTGTTTAATTTTTGGAAGACCCAGTTATCTAGCTTATCTTCTGGAGTTTGTGTGTTGTTAGTTAGGGTCTGTATCCTGTTACTGCTGTGTATTAGGGCCTCTAGCATTGATCTTATTTTTTCTTCTATCATCTTTATAGTTTATGGCTTTATATTTAGTTCTTCGATCCATTTTGAATTAGTTTTTGTGTATGGTGTGAGATATGGGTCCTGTTTCATTTTTTCGCTGATGGACATCCAGTTTTGCCAGCACCATTTGTTAAAAAGACTGTCTTTTCCCCATTTGATGGACTTTGGACCCTTGTTGAAGATCAGGTGACTGTAGGTGGATGAATTTACACCTGGGTTCTCAGTTCTGTTCCATTGATCAGTGTATCTGTCATTTTACCAGTACCAGACTGTTTTGACTACCATAGCTGTATAGTGGGTTCTGAGTCAGGTAGTCCAAGTCCTCCTGCTTTATTCTTCTTCAGTAGTGCTTTACTTATCTGGGGCTTCTTCACTTTCCATTAGTTTTTCCATCTCTTTAAAGAATGTTGTTGGTATTTGGATTGGGATTGCATTGTATTTGTAGATTGCTTTGGGTAGAATTGTCATTTTCACAATGTTGAGTCTACCTATCCATGAGCATGGTATGTTTTTCCATTTATGTAGATTTCTTTTGATTTCTTGTAGTAGTGTTGTGTAGTTTTCTTTGTATAGGTCTTTTACATCCCTGGTTAGATTTATTCCTAAGTATTTTATTATTTTAGGGGCTATTATAAGTGGTGTTTTCCTGATTTCCTTTTCATCATTCTCTTTATTGGTGTATAGGAATCCAACTGATTTTTGTATGTTTATCTTGTATCCTGCTACTCTGCTTAATATTTCTGTGAGTTCCAGTAGTTTTTTCATGGAGTCTTTTGGGTGTTCTATGTATAGTATCATATTATCTGCAAATACGGACAGTTTTACTTCTTCATTACCAATTTGGATGCCCTTTATTTCTTTTCTTCCCTTATTGCTCTAGCTAGGACTTCCAGCACAATGTTAAGTAGGAGTGGTGATAAAGGGCATCCATGTCTTGTTCTTGTTCTCAAGGGGACTGTTTTCAGCTTCTCTCCATTAAGAATGATGTTGGCTCTTGGTTCTGTATAGATGCCCTTTATTATGTTGAGGAATTTCCCTTCTACACCGCTTGTACTGAGAGTTTTTATCAAGAATGGGTGTTGGATTTTGTCGAATGCCTTTTCTGCATTGATTGAGATGATTGTGTGATTCTTTCCTTTTATTTATGTGGTGAATTGTGTTGATTGATTTTCTAATGTTTAGCCATCTTTGTATACCTGGTGTGAATCCTACTTGGTTGTGGTGTATTATTTTCTTGATATGATGCTGAATTCTGTTGGCTAGAATTTTGTTGAGAATTTTTGCATCTATATTCATGAGAGATATTGGTCTGTAATTTTCTTTTTTTTGTGGTATTTTTGCCTGGTTTTGGTATCAGGCTTATGCTGGCCTCACAGAATAAATTCAGAAGTATCCCTTCCTTTTCTATGTTCTGAAATAGTTTGAGTAGTACTGGTATAAGCTCTTCTCTGATTGTTTGGTAGAATTCTCCAGTGAAGCCATCTGGGCCAGGGCATTTTTTTTGTTGGGAGTTTTTTTTTTTTTTTTTTTTTTTAAATTACCTTTTCAATCTCTTCTCTTGTTATGGGTCTGTTCAGATTTTCAGCATCACTTTGTGTTAGTTTGGGTAGGTAATGTGTTTCTAGAAATTTATCCATTTCCTCTAGGTTTTCAAATTTGTTAAGAGTATAGTTTTTCATAATACTCTGTTATGATCCTTTTTATTTCAGTTGAGTCTATTGTAATGTCCGCCATTTCATTTTTCGTTTGGGTTATTTGTGTCCTCTCCTGTTTTTCTTTTGTCAGTTTGGCCAGTGGTTTGCCGATTTTGTTGATTCTTTCAAAGAACCAACTTTTGGTTTTGTTGATTCTATTGTTTGTCTATTCTCTATTTCATTTTTTTTTTGCTCTGATCTTAATTATTTCCTTTCTTCTGGTGGCTGTGGGCTTTTTTTGCTGTTCTCTATTTGTTTAAGTTGTATAGCTAATGTTTTGATGTTGTCCCTTTTTTGATGTGTGCGTCCATTGCTATAAATTGTTCTCTGAGCACTGCCTTTGCTATGTCTCAGAGGTTTTGGTATGAAGTGTTTTCATTTCTAATTTGATTCTAGGATTTTTTTTTATTCTATCTTGATTTGTTCTATTACCCAGTGGTTTTTAAGCAAGGTGTTATTCAGTTTCTGTGTATTTGATTTTTTTTCCTTGCTCTTTTTATTATTAATTTCTCCTTTTATGGTGGTGTAAGCAGAAAAGATGCTTTGTATTATCTTAATATTTTGGATTTTGTTGAAGGTTGCTTTGTGGCCTAAGATGTGGTCTATTCTGGGGAACATTCCGTGTACATTGGAGAAGAATGTGTACTTTGCTGCTGTTAGGTGGAGTGTTCTGTATAGGTCTATGAGGCCAAGTTGGTTAATTGTGGCCTTTACATCTTCTGTATGTTTGTTGAGTTTCTTTCTAGATGTTCTGTTCTTTACTGAGAGTAGTGTGTTGAAGTCTCCTGTTATCGTGGAACTGTCAGTTTCTCTTTTCAGTGCTATTACAGTCTGTTTTACGTATTTTGGAGCCCTGTCATTGGATGCGTAGATACTTATGATTATGTCCTCATGGTAGATTGTAGCTTTTAATCATTATATAATGTCCTTCCTTGTCTTTTATGGTGGATTTTGTTTTAAAGTCTATTTTATCTGAGATTGTATTGCCACTACTGCTCTTTATTGGCTGCCTTTTGCTTGATAAATTTTTTTCCATCTTTTGATTTTTAATATATTTATGTCTTTGTTTCTAAGGTATGTCTCTTGTAGATGGCATATTGATGGCTCCTGTTTTTTTTTTAATCCATTCTGTAACTCTGTGTCTCTTTATGAGAACATTTAAGCCATTTATGTTCAGTGTGATTATTGATAGTTGTGAGTTTATTGCTGTCATTTTGTGTTGCTTTTTTTGTGGTTCTGACATTTTCTTTGTTCCTCTTACTCTTCTGTGCTGAGTTCATTTTGTTTGTGGATTGTTTTTTTTTTTGGTTTTTGTGTTTACTGAGACTTTTTTTTTCTTTATTTTGATGAGTGGATTTGTTAAGTTTCTTTATGTTATCTTGAAATGTACCCCTATCTTCCTGAGTTTAAACCAGTCATTTATTACTTGATACTGCCTTGACGACTTCTTCATTAGAAAGTTCTGTGCCTACACTGTTTATTCCCTCTTTTATTGTCCTGACATTGTTGTCATTTACAGATTGATGTCTCTGGTTCCCTGTTGTAAATTTTTTAGTTGTGTTTTATCCTTGAGAGTTCATTACCTAGTATGGTATCTGACACTGTCTTACATCCTAGATTCTGATTGTTGTCTGATGTTGTTGGTTCTGTAACCAAAGGGCTCCCTTTAATAACTCTTATAAGTTTGGTTTTGTTTTTACACCTTTCCGTAATTTCTGTTAACCTGGAAGTGTCCTAATTTTGCCATCATATTTGTGTGAGAGTTTTGCAGGACATATTATTCTTTGTTGGCAGTTTTTTTTTTCTTTCAAGATTTTATATATGTCATCCCATTGCCTTCTTGCCTGCATGGTTTCTGCCAAATAATCATAGCTTAGTCTTGTTGTTTCCCCTTTGTATGTGACTTTTTATTTTTCTCGAGCTGCTCTCAGAATTCTTCCTTTGTCTTTGGTTTTAGTGAGTATGATTATGATATGTCTTGGTGATTTTCTTATGGGGTTTATCGTATATGGCATTCGTTGAGCCTCTTGGATGTTTGGCTTTTTGTCTTTCATAATGTTAGGGAAGTTTTCTGTCAGCAAAACTTCAATGATCCTCACTGTTTTCCATTTTCTTCCCTTGTTCTGGAACTCCGATCACATGCAAATTTTTGCTTTAGATTGTATCTCACATCGTTCTCACGGTTTCTGCATTTTTTTCATTCTTTTCTCTGATTTTTCCTCAAACAGTGGTATCCAAGGATTTGTCCTCAATTTTGCTGATCCTGTTTTCCATTGTTTCACATTTGCTCCATTTCTGAAATCTTGGTGTTTATCTTTTGAATTTCTAATTGCTCTTTTTGTATGATTTCTACTTGGTTATTTTGACTGTTTTTCTATATTATTTTCCTGAATTCTTCTATTGCTTTGTTTTTGTTTTCCCTGATTTTGTCTGTATTTGCTGTGATTTTGTCTATTTTTTCCTTTTTTGTCTGCATTTCCCTTCATCTTTTGGACAATCCTGAATGTTAAGAGTTTTGAATTCCTTATCAGATAGTTCCAGTACCTTTTCTTCTAGCAGAAGGCCATCTGGTGTTTCATTTTGGTCACTGTCTGGAGCCATCCTGTTCTATTTTTTTTAATGTTTTGTTAGTATCTGTTGTCTCTGGGATATTCAGGAATTATTATCTTCATTTATTGATTGTAGATTTGATTGTTTTGTCCTGCTCTTTTGTTTTATTTGGTTATGTCTGGGCAGGCAGGCTGGGCGTGTTTTGTTGCTTGCTTGCTTGTGTGTACAATACTTCTCATGACCTTGTCCAGGTGGGCAGGGCTGATCATTCATCTGTGGTGCAGCAGGGGGGGTCCAGAGAGGATGGCTAGTTTGTGGCGTGAACTGGGGCCAATGGGGTCGGGCTAGGGGCAGTCCAGGGCAAGGTCAGGACTGCAAGGACTGCGTCAGTGCTGCTCGGGGACACAGTGCTCAGTGCACGGTGCAGGTAGGCAGAATGGAAAGGAGAGGATGTGATATACAGACTTAAGTGGATGGGTGAAAGAAGAGAAAGAAGAGTGAGAAACAAAAGCAAAATAAAAAAACCAAAAAGAATAAAATAAGGAAAAACAAAAGTAAATAAAATAGCAGCAGAGTAGGATTTGGTGGGTGGGGATGAGGCAGACCTGGTGAGGCTGTGTGCCAGTAACTCTCTAGCCGAGCGGTGTGGCTCTGCCTAATGAGAAGGTGTGTGGACAGTGCATGAGGCTAGGTTTGCCAGAGAAAGGAAAGGAAAGAGGGGAAAGAGAAAAAACCAATCAAACAACTAACAAACAAAATAAATATATTTAAAAAAGAAAAGTAACAACAACAAAAAATATATATATAGTGGTGGGGAAGTTGGCCATTGGGGGTGGTGGTGAGCTGATATGTGTCTTGCCAGGTGGCAAAGCATGTCCCGTCAGGAAGGGGCGGAGGCAGTGCAGGGCCTAGGTGGGAGGGAGAAGGGGAAAGATAAATAAAAAATATGGCACTGAGGGAGCCACCCTGTGGGGGTGGTGCAGACCTGGAGGCTCTCCAGCTGAATAATATAGCATAGCCCACTAAGAAGGGGGTGGGGGGAAGTACACTGGGCTAGGTGGGTGGGAGAAAGGAAAAGAAGGAAGGGAAAAAGAGAGAAGAAACAACAACCAAAAAAAACCAAAAAACAAAAAATAAATAAAGTGGTGTGAGGAAGCCAGTCGGTGATGGCGGTATGACGCGGGGAGGCCGCGTGCAGTAATTCTCCAGCTGAGGGGTGCAGCATGGCCCCTTGAGAAGGGATGCGGGCAGTGCACAGGGCTGGGTGGGCAGGAGAAAGAGAAGGAAGAAGAGAGAGAGAGAGAGAGAAAACAGAAAAAAGGGAAAAACAAAACAAAGCAAACAAACCAAAAAATCACAGCCTGTCAAGAAGGGGAGGAGATGGGGAATCCTCAATAATTTTTAAGAGTGTTAGGGGATTCTGAGGCCAAAAAATTTGAGAGCCTCTCATCTATGATACCGTTTCAGGTTACTTTTGAAAACAGTAAAAATATTGGTTGTCTTGCTTCCCGAGTCAGAAAACGGGAAGTACTTTTTCCTTACCTCATTCTTCTCAAAAGACCCTGGACTTTGTTGCTGGGAAAATTGAGCCAACTTCTTGTAACTTTTTGTCCCTAATTCACCTATCTTTTGTAATTCTCAACATGGATTCTTACATGATTTTAAAAAAGTTTCCGCAGAGGATTATTTCAGTAGGTACTTTGAAAGAACATCTGTGTGTGGCTCTGCAGAGTGAGACATGTGTGAACTGATTGCTTTCTACATTTAATATTTATGCTTCTAAAAACCAGGCCCACCACCCATCTGTCAGTTTGTCGTACTGTGGTGGCTTGCATGTTGATATGATGCTAGAAGCTATGCCACCAGTATTTCAAATACCAAAAGGGTTACCCATGGTGGACAGGTTTCAGCAGAGCTTCCAGACTAAAACTAGGAAAAAAGGCCTGGTATCCTACTTCTAAAAATTAGCCAATGAAAATTTTATGGATTATAACAGAACATTGCACAGTATAGTGCTAGAAGATGAGCCCCTAGGTTGGAAGGCACTCAAAATAACACTGTGGCTACAACAATGGACTTGAGCATACCAACAGTTTTGAAGATGGCACAGGACCGGGCAACACTTTGTTCTGTTGTACACAGTGTCACCATGAGTTGGAGCCAACTTGACAACAAATAACAACAAAAACCAGGCAACTGTGACAAATGAACCACTATGACCTCTGGAGGCCAGTGCAAGAAGACCCATTTATATTATATCTTTAATGGGATCTTTAAACAGTTAGGAACCATCATAGGTCACTAGTTTTTCAGGTATCTGGTATTTACACCTAGGACTTTGGAAATCATTAAGAATGTTTGAAGAAAAGCTGCTTTTGGTGATAAACATTTATAGGTTTTATAAATGTTTTATCCCCTCTGAACCTTCGGGAAAAATCTGGAAGTCAGTAACCTAACTGATAATGCAAGATTCTGTAGTTATAAAAGGTTTTGAAAATACAGTGGACATTTTTGTTTTAATCTGAGTTTTATTTTCTCTGCCTCAAAATCATCTTAATTTTGTTACCAGATGTTAATCCCTAAGAATGAAAAGTAGGATGGTTTGAAATCCAGTATTCAGTGTAGTATGGGAACTCCTATTCTTGTTTAACCTTTGCTGTCTTCCCTTTGTATCAACTAGTAATTTTCAGATCCTATTAAAATTGTGTCTTTCTTCCATAGGAGAAGAATTAGAATATGAATTTGATGAACAAGGACACAGTACTTGGCTCTGCAGGGTGAGGTATGTTCTTTTCTCATTAATGTTCATTTCTGAAAAAGACCAATTTCGGGCTTAATTTATGGTTATAGACAACAGCTGGAGGAGTAACTTCAGTCTTAATTTTAGACTGTTCTTGATTTTGGGCCTTGGTATTTGAGTAACACATATTATTTGAGGAGAGGAAGGTAAGAGGTGGAAGGAAAATATTTAAAGTTCAACCTTGGCAGGATAGAACAAAATGAATTGAGAGATTGAAAAGCTGGTTCAAAAAACATGATTATCACAACATATTAGTTGTTTTCATGAAAATTTCATGAGAATACAGCTGTGCTGTAATTCTCTCCAAACCAATGTAGGTTACCTGTGGATGATTCAACTGGAAAACAACTGGTAGCTGAGGCCATTCACTCAGGAAAGAAGAAGGAAGCACTGATCCAGTGCTCCCTGGAAGCTTGTCGGATCCTTGATACTTTGGGATTGTTGCGTCAGGAGGCAGGTCAGTATATGGGAATACTTGTTTCCTTAAAAGAGAAAACAAAATTTAACAGAAAATGCAGTAAAACCTCTTTACAGGAGGAAAATGTAAATTGTACAGAATTCTATGAAGTGAAAAGAAAAAACTTTCAATCTCAATACTTTGAGGTAGCCACTGTTTATATTCTCCAGACATTTTCTATGTGTATATAAACATATATGTTAGAACTAAATCCTTTAACAAAAAATAAACACTCATACACAAATGCAGTCATGTTACTCTTCCTCGTCTCTGACCAACTTTTCCACATAAGTATGTATCATGGATATTGGCCCTATCAATCATTGGATTTATTTACCTCTTAAAAAAAAAACAAAAAACCTGGCTATATAATAATTTATTAATTAGACTTATACTCAAAATGAGAAGAAATAGCTGCAAACATTAATTAATAATCAGAACGTTGAATATACAAAATATGAATCTAGGAAAATTGGAAGTTGTCAAAAATGAAATGGAACGCATAAAGATCGATGTCCTAGAAATTAGTGAGCTGAAATGGACAGGTATTGACCACTTTAAATCAGACAATCGTATGGTCTGCTATGCCTGGAATGACAAATTGAAAAAGAGTGGTGTCGCATTCATCATCAAAAAGAATATTTCAAGATCTATTGTGAGGTTCAGCGCTGTCAGTGATAGGATAATATCCATACGCCTACAAGGAAGACCATTTAATATGACTATTATTCAAATTTACACACCAATCACTAATGCCAAAGATGAGGAAATTGAAGATTTTTACCAACGCCTTTGGTCTGAAATTGATCAAACATGCAATCAAGGTCCATTGGTAATGACTGGTGATTGTAATGCAAAAGCTGGAAACAAAGGAGAAGGATCTGTAGTTGGAAAATATGGCCTTGGTGATAGAAACAACGGTGGAGATCTCATGATAGAATTTTGTAAGACCAACGACTTATCCATTACAAATACCTTTTTTGAGCAACATAAACAGCGACTGTACATGTGGACCTCACTGGATGGAATACACAGGAATCAAATAGACTACATCTGTGGAAAGAGATAATAGAGAAGCTCAATATCATCAGTTAGAACAAGGCCACGGGCGCACTGCAGAATAGACCATCAATTGCTCATACATAAATTCAAGTTGAGGCTGAAGAAAATTAAAGGAAGTTCACAAGAACCAAAATATGGCCTTGAATATATCCCACCTGAATTTGGATACCATGTCAAGAATAGATTTGATACATTAAACACTAATAACAGCAGACTAGACGAGTTGTGGGATGACATCAAGGACATCATACATGAAAAAAGCAAAAGGTCATTAAAAAGACAGGAAAGAAAGCAAAGACCAAAATGGATATCAGAAGAGACTCTGAACCTTGCTTCCAAAGTAGAGTAGCTAAAGCAAATGGAAGAAATGAAATGAAAGTAAAAGAGCTGAACAAAAGATTTCAAAGGGCAGCTCGAGAAGACAGAGTAAAGTATTATAATCAGATGTGCAAAGACCTTGAAATAGGAAGACCAAGAGAAGAACATGCTCGGCATTTCTCAAGCGGAAAGATCTAAAGAAAAAAGTCAAGCCTTGAGTTCAGTTTTGAAGGATTCTGTGGGCAAAATATTGAATGACACAGGAAACATCAAAAGAAGATGGAAGGAATACATAGAGTCACTGTACCAAACAGAATTGGTCGATGTTCAACCATTTCAGGAGGTAGCATATGGTCAAGAACCAGTAATATTGAAGGAAGAAGTCCAAGCTGCACTGAAGGCATTGGTGAAAAATAAGCCTTCAGAAATTGATAGAATACCAATTGAGATGTTTCAACAAACAGATACAGTGCTGGAGTTGCTCACTCGTATATGCCAATAAATTTGGAAGACAGCTACCTGAACCACCTACTGGAAGAAATCCATATTTGTGCCCATTCCAAAGAGAGGTGATCCAACAGAATATGGAAATTACTGAACACTACCATTAATATACATGCAAGTAAAATTTTGCTGAAGATAGTTAAAAAATGGTTGCAGCAGTACATCGACAGGGAACTCCCAGAAATTCAAGCCAGATTCAGAAGAGGACATGGAACAAGGGATATCCTTGCTGGTATCAGTTGGATCTTGGTTGAAAGCAGAAAAATATTTACCTGTGTTTTATTGACTACACAAAGGCATTAAACTGTGTGGATCATAACAAATTGTGGATAACACTGCAAAGAATGGGAATTCCAGAGCACTTAATAGTGCTCATGAGGAACCTGTACATAGATCAAGAGGCAGTCATTCTAACAGAACAAGGGGATGCTGCATGGTTTAAAATCAGGAAAGATGTGCATCAGGGTTGTGTTCTTTCACTATATTTAGTCTGTATGCTGAGCAAATAGTCCGAGATGCTGGACTATATGAAGAAGGACAGGGCATCAGGATTGGAGGAAGACAACATTAACCTTCAATATGCAGATGATACAACTTTGTTTGCTGAAAGTAAAGAGAACTTGAAGCACTTACTGATTAAGATCAAAGACTGCAACCTTCAGTATGGATTACACCTCTGCATAAAGAAGACAATAATCCTCAGAACTGGACTAATAAGCAACATCATGATAAAAGGAGAAAATATTGAAGTTGTCAAGGATTTCATTTTACTTGGATCCATAATCAACACCCATGGAAGCAGCAGTCAGGAAATCAAACGATGTATTGCATCAGGCAAATCTGCAAAAAACCTCTTTAAAGTATTGAAAAGCAAAGATGTCACTTTGAGGACTAAGATACACCTGACTGAAGCCATGGTATTTTCAGTTGCCTCATATGCATGCAAAGACTGGACTATGAATAAGGAAGACCGAAGAAGAATTGATGCCTTTGAATTACGGCGTTGGCCAGGAATATTGAAAATACCACGGACTGCCAGAAGAACGAATAAATCTGTCTTGGAAAAAGTACAGCCAGAGTGCTCCTTGGAAGTGAGGATGGTGAGACTTTGTCTCACGTACTTTGGACATGTTATTAGTAGGGACCAGTCCCTGGAGAAGGACATCAAGCTTGGTGAAGTAGAGGGTCAGCGAAAAAGAGAAAGACCCTCAATGAGATGGATTGACACAGTGGCTGCCCCAGTGGGCTCAAACACAGCAATGATTGTGAGGATGGTGCACGAACTGACAGTGTTTAATTCTGTTGTACATAGGGTTGGTATGAATTGGAACTGACTCGATGGCACTTAACTACAACAAGAACATATTATATTATATCTTTATTCATTCTAAAATTAATTTTTATTTTTGCAAAGTAACTTATGTATAGTTTAAAATGACCAAAAACAAAAATCACCTCGTTCAGTTACATCTTTAGGCATTTCCAAATACTCATATTTCTAAAAAGGAAGAATATGCTGTTATATTTCAAGTCATTAACTTTAGATATTATCTATTGACTCATTAAATTGGTACTTACCATTTACATTATTATGTTATCAAATATTAGTCACAGTTGAGCAGTTTTATTTCTTTTTTTTTGTCCTAAATAACTGTTATTTTTGTGTATATTTGGTTTTCTTTGTACCTCTTGCTCATTCTTCCCCACCTTTCAATAGCCTGTCAGTATGTTTCTCTACATGGTCAATCACATCAAATAATTTATCAGGTCCAATTTTTTTTTAGACATTTCCCCTGGAGAACACTGTTCTTCTTCCTTTAGAGCCTGTTGCTTTCTAGACATGCTGCAGAACTGTCATCCTGGGACTTAACTTTGCTGTCACTCTTGATATTTCCTTTGCTTTTCTCCTGGGTTGGATTTTCTGTTTCTTGATTCTTATATTCTCATATTTCTTACCTTATTCTGTTGTTTTGGTGGAGCACATCCTTCTATAGTTTTAACAGACTTAAAAGGTGGTATAAGAGTAGAGGACATGGGTGATGGTAGTCTTCAGTGGATTTCCCTTTGTTCTTAAGGTTCTTGAAACTTAGCTATGATGTAGCTTGCTGTGGAGCTATTCCTATCCATTTTTTCTGGGTATTTGTTGAGTCCTTTGATCTAGAAACTCCTGGCAATTGTACTCATGCAGTTATGTCATTGATTATGTCATTCCTCTGTTTTCTTTGTTCCCTTTAGAATTTTATTATTAAGATATCAGACCTCTTGGACTTAATCATATAAGTTTCTTATCTTTTTTTTCCCCTCTTTTTATCTCTGTGTCTTTTTGCTCTTTCTGGGAGATTTTTGCAACTTTATTTTTCAGGTTCTTTATTTTGCTATCAAAGTTTTATTTTCTAAGAGCTCTTTTTAGTTTTCTTGAATATTCCTTTTTAAAAAATGATATCCCATTATTTCACAAATTGCAAATATATCCTCTCGTCTCTTTGCTAATCTGTTTTCTCCAGGTTGCCTTTTTCTTTTTGTTTGGTCTTTTTGTTAGAGGTTTTTCTCAGGTATCATTTAATCTTTGGTTGTAGATTCTTATTTGGAGACTAAAAGCTTATTGACAGCTTGGAGTACGTAAAAAACCAAAAACCAATCAGTTGCCATGGAGTCGATTCCAATTCATAGTGACCTTATAGGTCAGAGTAGAACTGCCCCATAGTGTTTCCAAGGAGCGCCTGGTGGATTTTAACTGCTGACCTTTTGGTTAGCAGCTGTAGCTCTTAACTAGTTCTGACACCAACCGTCCCTCCCATGACACTCTCTACTTCTCTGCTATGTTTGATAATTCATTTCAGTGGTCACACAGAACTCACAGACAATACTCACGATTATGGGGTTTATTAGGGAAGTAACAGGTTACAGTTTCGGTTCAGGAACACTCAGGATACAGGTCTTCTATCAGTACAGCCTCTTCCCAGCCATCCTTGCAGGCTCGCCTCTCTGGCCCCTAGCCTCTACCCTGCTCAGGCAAGTGTTAAAAAACAAACAAAAAAAGTGCCCTTTTAGCCCCTGCCAATAAGTCCCCAAAGGCACTCTTGGCACTCAGCTTTCTTGCTCTGTGGGTGGGGAAGCCTGCTGCATGATCTCCTGCTGGTCTGTCCTGCCACTACTTCTTGCCATCTTCAGGGTTACAGCTCTCTCTAGGTCTCCTGGTTCCAGGAGCTTCTCAGCCAGGCATCTAGGCTCCAGAGGACACACTCTCTGCTCCTGGCTGTTCTTCCTTGGTGGTGGTGGGATCCACTCTTTTCCACCTCTGGGGTGGCTCATTTCAAGTCCAGCAGTATGGCAAAACTGACCAGTCCCCTTGGTGGGCCACGATTATCTTATTTGCACAGTTCAATCCAATCAATTGGGTGGAAGTTACAAGACTATGGCTAGAAAGGCCACACAAAATCGATCAATTGCACTGCAACAACCTATTTTTAGAATAAAGTATCCATGCCCTAACTGTACTAGTCAACCCACAGTCCAAAGACTTTGTGTTTTACCCTTTCTAGACATTAACCTCTGAATTTCTACTGTGGCTGGGAAGGAGGTGAGTAGACAGGGGAGAGGATCTGCTTCTCAATCAGCTTTTACTAAGTCCTCCTTATTTTAGCACTTCTATTCATTCTGCAGTGTAGTCAGATTGGTTCTCATCTTTCCCCACTGTTGGTTTCGGATTCATCATTTTTTCGTTCCTGTTAAGGTAGGTTCCACTAGTCTGTCTGCTTTCTAACTTCTAAAAATTTGGTGGAGTTCTCTTTCTTTGTGAATTAGTGTCTTTAAAAAAAAAAAAAGAAAAAAACTCTTTACTAACGTGGGGTTTGGGGAGGAAGTAAATTAGGTATACACGTTCAGCGTACCATCCTATCCTGGGAATTGTCAGACTTGAATTAATAAGTACTATTTTGGTTGCCAATAATAAAAACTCAACTCAAACTAGGGAAAGGTTATTGGCTGTCTGTGCTCTGAAGAGTAGCTCACAGGATTGAAGGAAGAACTGCATGAATCAGGACCTCAAGTTGTGGAACTAGAACTCATTACTACCAGACCAGAACTCAGTATCACCAGAATACATTCAAGCCATGTGTGTGTGTGTGTGTGTGTGTTGGTGTGTGTGTGTGTGTGTGTTGGTGTCTGTATCATGAATACGTGGGGCAGATTCATACCTCATGCAGAAAAGCTGGCTGCTCGCAGCCCTGGATTTGTATCCTCCCACTTTAATGACCTAATTGGAAAGAGAGCCTCTTTTTCCCTATATCTAAATAGAATTATCACAGGGCACTTTATTCGCATGCCTACCCCTGAACCAGATAGAATGGTGCAGGAGTTTTCTAGAGGAAAGAGGGTGCTTTTACCAGAACAAGGGGAGTAGGATGGTGTAGGGTAGACAAAAAAGTAATAAAAACCACAGTCCCTTATTGATTGACTTTCCAGATTTTCACTGTTAGAAACAATGTTGCATTGATATCTATAGGATGAATTCCTAGAAGTGAAATTATTGCATGGTTGCATTTTTAATTTTGACAGATGTTGTAAGGTTGACCTTCAAAAAGGTTATATCAGTGCACGTTCCCACCAGCCATTTGAGTCCATTTTCTCTTACCGTTGCCAAACTGAGCATTATTAATCTTTTTACTTTATTTATTTATGTTCTTAGTTGGGTAGGTGAGAAGTGGTATTTCATTGTTTTAATTTGTATTTCTTTAATCACTAGAACAATTAACATTATTCTTTTTCAGATTTCGTTTTGAATTATTGGCATTTTTGTCAGTTATCTTTTTTTCTCATTGATTTTTTAAGAGCCTTTTGTTCATTAAATAAATTCGCTCTTTTTTTAACTTGTAATTTGGCAGTTTCTTGAATCATCTCCTTAAATAATTGATGGTAATTCTTTTATCTGCTTGCCTACCTGCATTCTTTCTTTTTTAAAGAATCTGATCGCATTATCATTTATTTTATCCACCTCTAGTATCTCGGAAGAGGAAAGCCAAGAACTGGGAGGATGAAGACTTTTATGACAGTGATGATGACACATTCCTTGATCGGACTGGCCTGGTAGAGAAGAAGCGTCTGAACCGAATGAAGAAGGCTGGAAAGATTGATGAGAAACCAGAGACCTTTGAATCATTGGTAAGGTTTATTTACAGAAGTAGTTGTGGTAGTTTAATCTTTTTATAAAATAATGCATTATTTAAATCTGTTTTATGATAATTAGAATTTTAAAAAAGCAGTGGCATTGAAATCTGGGACTGAATTACAACTTTATGTGATCTTAAATTCGGTGGTAAAAAAACAGCTAATCTTATCCAACTTGTTGGATAAAATTTGGCTTGCTGCTAAAGATTTTCCTTTAGATTAATGTTGATTCATTAATGAACATTCTATAGACATGATGTTATGCCAAAAAAAAAGAAAGGAAAAATTTACAAATTGGGGCAGTCTGAGGTCAAATTGACCTCAGGCTTCTGGTAGTCAAGGGGAGTCAAAAGAATTTTGAGGCATATAGTGTGGTAATAGTCTTAAACTTTTGAATTTATCATAAGTTGGCATATGTTTACATTATATTTAGTACTCAGAAAACATACCCAACATCTGTCCTTTTGATTCATCAGTGAAAAATGCCTTGAGCTCTTTCTTTTGAGTAAAATAATGTCTGAGTTCTATGCATTCATTCCATTTAATTCTGAATTCAGAAGTTCACTTAGAATTAAATAAACAAAAAGTGTTAACTTCTTAAGGAGCAGAATTAATTGGACTTCTGAATTAATCCTCTAAAACTGGTGAAACAGTAGTGAAAATAAGAGAAGGAAGATAAAACTATCATATTCTGTAAGAAGAAAAATATGTGCTGACCCTGTTGATTTGGGCATTACAGGTTGCAAAGTTAAATGATGCTGAAAGAGAACTCAATGAAATTTCTGAAAGGCTGAAAGCCTCAAGCAAAGGTAAGACAGTGATACAGTCAACAAATGCTTATTGAGCACCTACCATGTATAGTGCATTATGCTGGGGCTACACTGGTTAAAAAGATCATACAGAATGTGGAGCCAACGAACTCTTTCTAAGAGTCATGGCGTTTTAGAGCTAGACAGAACTTTCTAAATCATTTGGTTCAACCTCTGTAATAGATGAGGGAAATGAAGCCCATTGAGGAGAAGTGACTTCCCAAGATCTCCCAGCTATAGCCTGTTTCCTTATTCTCAATATCAGTGAGGTCCTCTGTCCAGCTCTGTTAGTGACCTTTGGGTAATTTAAAAATATGTGGTAATGTCTTTTTAAACGTGTATTATCCCTTTCTTGGGCAGGTCTGTCAGAGTCACCGTCTCAGGATTCTTTAGATGCATTCATGTCAGAAATGAAATCAGGGAGTGCATTAGATGGTGTGTCCCGGAAAAAACTTCACTTGAGAACCTTTGAACTGAGGAAAGAACAGCAAAGACTTAAAGGGTTGATAAAAATTGTAAAGCCAGCAGAGATTCCAGAACTAAAAAAGTAAGTAAGTCATAAGTTCTGTTTGGAATTTTAAATAAGCCTAAGTTAGCATAGATAACATTTTTTTTATTGTTGTAAAAATATTTATAAAATGTTTACCAATTTAATGTTTTTAATGTACAGCTTAATGACATCAGTTACATTAATCATGTTGTACAGTCATCACCAATATCTGTTGCCAAATTTCTCATCATCATAAACAGAAACTTAGTCTTTCTAAACAGTGACCCCTCTTCCTCCTCCCTCCTGCCCCTGGTAACCGATAATAATCTTTGGTCTCTATATATTTGCCTATTCTAGATATTTCATATGAGTGAGATCATATAATATTTGTCTTTTTGTGATTGACTTCACTCAGCATATTGTTTTCAAGGTTCATCCATGCTGTAGCATGTATCAGGACTTCATTTGCATAGATAACATTTTGAATTATATCTTAGATACGGAAAAAAAAACCCACCAAACTTGTTGCCGTTGAGTCAGTTCTGACTCATGCCGACCCTATGTGTTACAGAGTAGAACTGTTCCGTAGGGTTTTCTTGCCTGTAATCTTTATGGAAGTACATTGCCAGGCCTTTCTTTTGCAGAGCCGCTGGGTTGGCTTGAACTGCCAACCTTTAGGTTAGCAGCTGATTGCAAACTGCTTGCACCACTTGGGGACCTTTATCTTAGATAATCATTCTATAATAGAAATGTAATTGAAGAAACCCTTTAAAGTACAGAAGGCAGTGGTTTCATAGATTAACTAAAAATCCATTTCATTTGTGAAATACAGACTGCTAGAGGATTTTTAGAGAAAATTTTATTGACTCTTGGCTCACTGGAAGACTCTGAAGTTTTTACTTTACCTTTTAGTACAGAGTAAACTTCTTTAAAAAGCCATGTGCAGAACAGACTGAATTCCCTAATATGTGAAGACTACTTGTGAATGAGAAATAGTAGACAACTAACCACCCTAGAGAAAAATAGGCAAAGAATATTGACTGACAGGCCACAGGTAAAAAAATACAAATAACTATTAACTATATAAAAAGATGCTCGAACTCACTCATTTTAAGACAAATACATATAACTACAATGTAATACTGTTTCTTAATCTATGGAATTGGCAAAGTTTCCTAAGTGTAATGATACACTATGCTGGTAAAGCTATGATGAAAAGACACTTTTCTTATATTGCTCTTGGAGGAACAAATTAGTACAGTACCTGTGGAGGACAAATTGGCAGTATCTACTTTTAAATGCACATGGCCTTTGATCTAACTTAGGAATTTATCCTACATATATACTCATATTCTTAGGAAATGATAAATATAGATTTCAACGTTTTTTGTAATAGTAAAATATTAGAAACCAGCTAAAAGTTTATCAAAAGGGAAGGGCTAAATAAATATAGATATACAGTAGAACATCATGTAGCTATCAAAAGGAATGAGGCAACTATTATATGTGCTATATGGAAATATTTCCAAGATACATTAAGTAGCAGTGGCAAGCTACAGAACAATTGTGTAGAATAAGCACTGTCAGTGTGAAAAATGGTGATGGGGTAAGGACATATAGCTAGGTCACTGTATGTGCATAAGATGTGTTTAAGTCAGGCTCCCCCAAAACAGACCCTGAGACAGGGATTCTTCTACAAGGATTTATTGAAGGAATGCTCTCAGGAGAAACCTGTAAGGGAGTGAGGGAAGCATGATGGGGGAGAGGAAGAGTTGGATGGCACAGCAGTTCTTCTGAGAAAGGGGCAGGTGTGAGCCTGTAGCAGGCAACATCTGCAGCAGAACAGTGCAGATATTGAACACTGCCATCATTGCAGGGAGTTCTATCGGATGGTGCTGCTTCAGATTGTCAGTAAGCATTATTAGTGTCCCCCTCGCCCATGTAACTTGATACTGGGGGCATTACATAGAAGAGTAACTGGATATTGAGAAGTATCTCCTCTTACATAGGTATAGAGATGAAGTAATATTTCTGGAGCCCTTGATCATCTATATAGAAAATTTATCCCCAAGTTACTAGTAGGTTTGTTCAAAGATTTGTGTGTAGTTTAGACATTTAATACAGTGATTCCTGTTGTTGTTATTGTTGTTAGGTGTCGTAGAGTCATTTTCTACTCATAGCAATCCCATGTGACAGAGTAGAACTGCCCCATAGTCTTTTCATGGCTATTTTTACAGAAGCAGATTGCCAGGTATTTCTCCCACAGAGCTGTTGGGTGAGTTTGAACCACCAACCTTGTGATTAACAGCCGAGTTCTTAAATGTTTGTTCCACCAGGGCTCCTTACACTGATTCATAGATCAGCCTGTAAAAGTTAATTTGACCCAGATGATATTTGAATTTTCTTACTGATAGTGAAGAGGTAGGTTAGTACTAGAGTTAGACTTCCTGGGTTTAATTCTCGGCTCTATCTGTTACTTTTTGGGCAAGTTATGTTATTTCTTTGATCCTTGCTTTCCTCATCTGTAAATTGGAGATAATGATGTTGCAAAGATTGAATGAATAGCACTTAACAAAGTGCTGGCATAGATGTATTATTGTTGTCATCACTCTTATAATTTGTACTATTTTTGTTGTTACTAGCAACTATTTGTAACACTGATTTTATAGACAGAAGGTAAAAACTCAGAAAGCATTGTCTAGGGTGGACAAATTAGCAGTAAGTTTTAATTCCAACTCTAGTCTTTTAACTTGATAAATCAGCCCCTCTAGGGTGTTCTGAGCTGGAAGACCCACATCAGGCTCCCCTCCTGCTGTCAGTCTGGTGTATGCCTTCTCCCTCCCCTTCCCACTTGAGAGTCGGGTCTTCAGGGTGGGGCAGGGCAACCACTTTCTTGTCGCACTTCTTTTGAGTTAGGAGTGCCTGTACTGTCCTGATACACTAGACTGCAGGGCTGCCCTGAGGTGGATGTGAAGAAAGCATAGGGCCATCTTCCCTGGTCTGCCATGGCCATTCTCCTGCTGTCTTCTCATTGTCGCCTTGCCCACGCTCTGAGGGTCTTGTCAGCACACCTGCCCTCTCTTTTGTTTTCGCTCTTCTCCGCTGCTCACCCTCTTTTCTAATTTCTACTGTCCCTTCTTTTTGCTCTTTATCAGCTTTGCCATGGTGAGCTTAGCTTTTATAGCTACAGTAAAACCTGCAAAAGCCGGAAACTATGTAAGGTGGAAACCTGTCAGAAAAGAAAAATTCAAATTATTTTCCACTAAATAGAGAGCAATAGAAAAGTAGTGACTGCACCCTGTGAAAGGTGAAAAACTTGTAAGACCCGGAAAAACAAAGCAGTCCCATCGAGTTCCAGCTCTCACAGGTTTCACTGTGTCTCCAGAGAGAATGCTGACAAGCTCACTGGTTGCAGGGTCTCTCACTTTGTCTTTGTTGTTACTCATCACACAGGGTGTCCTCTCCACCTCCCCCATACACACACGCTTGTTAATTTCTGTGCTTAGCATTGTTGTGCATGGCTGTGATGAGTGTGAAGCACCACAGACAAGTGAGGCACTGTGAGCCTCTGCAAAGGTGGGAAATAGGGCTTGACACCGTGGGTTCACCTCCCACTGCTTAGAGGGAAGGGGGTCCTGCGTATGTATTCTCCTCCGCCAGTGACCTTTGTACTGTAGTCATCATTTTACGAATGCTAAGTTTTATAGTATGTTTCAAATTACTAGACTAAGGTAGCAGCTTTATCTTGCCCTTAATAGCTCTGTGTCTGACAATTGATGATGTCGTATTCATTCAGACTTTGCTGGGTGCGTACCTCATTCTTACTGTTGTTCACTTAGACATTGATTTTGTGATAATTTTTGTTTTTCCAAAAGTTTCTTTGTCAGTGTCATGGTATTTTTAGATATAACCTTGGACTCACTGAAATAAATATGCATAATTACTCTTTCTTCCTAGGACCGAAAATCAGACCACAGATTCAGAAAACAAAGCTAAAAAGCTTACATTGCCTCTCTTTGGTGCCATGAAAGGGGGAAGCAAATTTAAACTAAAAACTGGAGCAGTAGGGGTAAGTTGTGGGTCAGAATGCTAAACTTTTAGCTCTTGAGTTATCCGGGGGCTGTTTTTTGTCTCTTTCTTTTGAAAGTGCAAACGGTTTATTCCGTCGTCATGTGAATAAGGGCTGTGGGATTTGGTGTGATCACATCTCAAGGGTTTGGTTTTTGGATTCTTCTGTTCATCTAAGGGTTATCAAGAATTGGTGAATCAGGGGGACCTCATACCATCAAGAAAGTAGTGCCGGGAGCAGAGCGCGTCCTTTGGACCGGGGTCCTTGCGCACAGAAGCTTCTAGTCCAGGGAGCACTGAAGAGAAGAAGGCTGAGAGGAAAAAGCCTTCCCCTGGAGCTGACACCCTGAATTTGGACTTTTAGCCTACTTTGACTGTGAGGAAATAAACTTCTCTTTGTTAAAACCATCCACTTGTGGTATTTCTGTTATGGCAGCATTAGATGACTAGGAAGTGGGGTGCTGCTCTAACAGATAGCTAAAATGTGGAAGTGGTTTTAAAACTGAATGGATAGACATGCGGCAGTGAAAGAGGACCAGCAGCGGCAGAGAACCTACAGCGGCAGAGAAGCAGCAGCAGCAGAAAACCAACAGCAGCAGAACCAGGAGACCAGTGAAAGACGGCGCTGGAGCCGACCCACGGAGCGAGAGAGCTGAATGCCTGTGAGCAGGAGGCTTTCTGGCGGAGTGGGGTGCCTCTGGGCACTTACTGGTGGAGCTAGGCTTGCCGACCCACGGAGCGAGAGAGCCGAGTGTCTGTGTGCAGGAGGCTTTCTGGTGAAGTGGGGTGCCTCCGGGCACTTATACCGGTGGAGCTACTGAGCTTTGGAACACTTGCCCCAGCAGGGCAGATGCGGGCGTGAGGCCTGAGGGCTGAGAGGCCACAGGAAGCAGAAGCTGAAGAGCCAAGGGACACAAGAAGCCGAGCTGCTTCAGTCTCAAAAGGTATGGCCGTGACCTCAGGGGTTTCAAAGGGTAGAGCCATGGCCTCTGGTGTTTCTAAGGGTGGAGTTGTCACTCAGATGGACTAGGAGAATGGTGTGCCTAAAGCCAAGGAAACAGAGTTGCTGTCCCAGTGGGCCTGGAAGGTGGAGCTGAAGCCCAGGGTGGAGGAGCCTCCACTCAAAATCAAGAGACTGTGGCCAATACCTAGAGTCTGGAGGGCAGGGCCATTGTGTAAATTGTCTTAGAGAAAAGATGATTATTTTCAAAGCCTTGAGGGCTAATGTAATGTGTTCTGCTAACTTGCTTGGTGCCTGTTATGCCTTCTTTCCCTGCAATTTCTCCCAT